TCAAGGAACATGACGGTATTAATGAGTAAGAATGCAAAATTTATTGGCTTTAATGTAACATATTAACTCAGAATGTGTGGAAAGTAGAGTCCTGTGTTACCTGAAATAACACAACATCAACAAAATGCAAATGATCAAGGGCAGTTTCTATTTTCTAGTCTTTCCTAATGTCTCATCAAATGGCCTGAACAATGTTATTGTGATGAAAATAATACAGAGTGGTGAAACCTTTCCAGATGTAATGATCAATCTTTGCCCAGTTATAAGGCTGATACATTGCTTTCTAAAAAGAGCTCACAAGAAGGGGAAATAAGTGCTAGTTCCCAGCCTCTGCTTTTAAAAAAAATTAAAAATTAATGGTGTGAATAGCTTTCAACCCTGGAACAAAGTGAAAGAAAAGAGATGACTGCACCAGATCTGCAAGCATGGGCTGGTTCCATGATTTATTGAAGATACTGGTTCTCCATTTGGGGAGGTCTATTGGGCAAATGTGATCAGTATTTTAGACTGTTTGGGCTGCTGTAACAAAATACCACTGATTGGGTGATTTATAAACAACAGGCGTTTATTTCTCACAGTTCTGAAGGCTGGAAGTTGAAGATCAGGGCACCAGAGTAGTTAGGTCCTGGAGAAGGCTGTCATCCAGTTTGTACACGACTGACCCTCACACGGTGGGAGAGAGGTGGGGTTTCTGGAGTCTCTATTGTAAAAATAGTAATTCCATTCATAAGGGCTCCACCCTCAGGACCCAAACACCTTCCAAAGACCCCACTTCCTAATACCATTACATTGGGCATTAGGATTTCAACATATGAGTTTTGGGAGAACACAAACACTCAAACACAGCAATCAAGGAAGGGATTTTCAAGTGATCTCGGTGGGCAGAATGTAAGATTACTCAGCACACAGAGAGGGTGCACTGGACAAGACGGAAAGGAACCCACTTGGGTGCAATTGCAGGGTTTTAGACCATCAGGATTAATTCAGGTGTATGTGGTTTCTCTAGGTTGGGTTTCTGGCTACTTCCAGAAATCTAGAGCCAGATTTTTCAGGTTCATATTTCCTACTGCATCCTATACATCTTTCCTAGGCTCCCAAAAACCTCACAGCTTCAAAATATCCTTAACCAACCAAACCTGCTTCTCTCTCTGTTTCCTTTATTTCCTCAATCAATGGCAACAACAACCATCTCACTATCCAAGAGAAAACTTGGGAGTTATTCTAGACTCCTACCCCTTTTCCTAGTGCCCTGTCACCTCTTTATGTCCCCAGCTGCCATCTATTTCACTCCTTGACTTATCTGGAATCAGGACCACCCTCTTTAAAAGTGCCCTGCTGTAGTTTGTACCTTCATCATTTTTCATTTGGATCACTCCAAAAGTTTCTTAACTGTCTTTCCTACCCTCCCCTCATCCCCTCCAGTACATCTTGCTCAGTGCCTCCACTGTGAACCTTCCAGAGTCCTTCAGTGGTCCCAGCTCTGGCATGAAGCCCTCTCTGATCTGCCCTTTCCTCTCTCTCCAGCTCCTCCCCTGCACCCTGGGCTCCAGTCATGCTGAACTACTGTCTGTCCCCTTTTGTACTTGGCTCCTCAAGCCACAGAGCCCTGCATTTATATATGCCTGGAAATTTCTTCCATAATTCAGATTAAGCTCACCTCTGGGGAAGCCTTCTTTGACACTTCAGGCTGATTTATGAGTCTCCCTTGAGTTTTCCTCTCCATCCATACCTGGCAAAGTGCAGCTTTATAATTTAGTTTTCCATCTCCCTCATAGGATAGTGAACTCTGAGGCCATGGTTAAATATAAGATGATGGCAGCACTCCACATCTCATGAGCTCTGTTTGTTGACCACCTTGAGGAAAGGCCATACTAACTCAAAGAAGCAGTAGTGGCAGAGGGTCAAGCAGTAGCATCCAGTGCCAAGCCTCAGTGCAAGCTGTAAATGGAGCCTGGGACCCAAGCTCCTGGTAGTGGGAGTCTTTATAAGCAGTCCTATAGTAGTCTTTGAGCATTATGCCCAGATGCATAGCCAATTCCTGGCTTTCCTGGAGATTCAGTGAACTGCATAATATCTTTGAAGACATCTTTTTTTCATTAAACCAATTAGATTGGCTTCTGTGGTCTGCAACCAGGAACCCTCACATAGACCTCTGAACTGGGAGTCCAGTCATCTCACTCCTGCTGTTCCCAGTCTCTGTCACATGGAGTCACTATGGAGAAGCTGGCTCTTCACTCTTCAGGCCTGACTCTGGTCCACTCTGCTGCGGAGCCTCCAGGTCCCAGGTCACTGTGCAGACTGGTTTCGTCCTTCAAGGAGTCAAGATGCTATGTTCTCCCAGCTTGCAGCCCTTAGTACTCAAACCCAGACATCTTCTAAGATGCTACATGCTCCAGGTTTGCTGGGTCAGGACAAGGTGGTGATTTTAAAATATGCCACAAATTTTTTGACACCTCTCCCATCAAGAGATGGATTATATTTTTTCCCTTTAACCTGGTCAGGTCTTTGCAATGGAAGCAAGGCTAAATGACTTCCAAGGCCAGGTTTATAAAAACAAATGCTGTTCCTGTTTGCAGCTTCTCTTGGGACACTTGTCAGTTGCTAGGTGAGAAGTCTAGTGTCCCTGAGACCTCATGTTGAGAGCTCAAGTGGAGAGACCACATGGAGAGAGAGATGTCAGAGAAGCCGCAGCTGTTTGAGTTCTCCCAGCCCAAGCACCAGACATGTGAGTGAAGAAGACTTCAAGATGACCCTTACCCCAGCCCCGTCTGACATTTGAATCACTCCAAAAGTTTCTTAACTGTCTTTCCTACCCTCCCCTCATCCCCTCCAGTACATCTTTCTCAGTGCCTCCACTGTGAACCTTCCAGAGTCCTTCAGTGGTCCCAACTCTGGCATGAAGCCAGAGTTGAAGAACTGGCCCAGTCAATCCCCAGACACAGGAGGAAATAATAATTAATTGTTATTTTGATCAATATCTTAGGGTCTTTCTAACACAGCCATAGATAACCAAATACTCTCTTGCATTCAGTGACAAAAGGAATTAAAAATCTGGACAGCATGGGAGGGGAGGAGGAGTTAGTGTTTAATGGGCACAGAGTTTCATTTTGCAAAGATGAAAAATTTCTGGAGATGGTGATGGTCACACAACAATGGGAACATACTTAATGCTCCTGAATGGTATACTTCAAAATGGTTAAAAAACAAAACAAAACAAAACAGTGTATGTATATGTTGCCAAAATTTTTACAAAGGAAAAAAAAATCTGGGCAGTAAGCAATTTTGGAATGTATGTAGAAATGGGCATTTCTATTATTAAAACAATCGGGCTTTATCCAGGACTGAGCCCCAGGCATTGAAGGTGATATTTATGTGAAAAATATATCTGTCTTCAGGATGATGACAGCTGCATTTTAAAGAATAATAATAAAAGCAGCTAATGTTTCTTCACTGAGCACCTCCTACGAACCCAGTGCTAGGGATGCAGGCAGAAGGCAGGCTGTCTCTCTTCTCCTGTGTCTCACAGTGTAGTAAGGGGAAGGCAGTAGTGGGTGTGTGAGCATCATGGGGAAGAGGCAGAGGAACAAATGAAAACGGAACATGTTGGGTGATGACAAGTGCTGTGCTGAGATTACAGCAGGTTCACGTGATAGAAAGCCTGCTGGGGTGTCTGGGTGGCTCAGTCGATTGAGAGTCCAATTTTGGCTCAGGTTGTGGTCTTAGAGTTTGTGGGTTCGAGCCCTGCATTGGGCTCTCTGCTGCCAGCGCAGAGCCTGCTTCAGATCCTCTGTCCCCTCCCCCCCCACCCCGTCCCTCCCTCACTCACGCATGCTCTCTCTCTCTCTCTCTCTCTCTCTGTCAAAATATAAACATTAAAAAAAAGAGAAAGAGACTGGGGCCTATTGTACATTGGGTCCACAGGAGAGCCCTGAAAAAGTGCCACTTACTGAGGAGGGAAGGACAGATTTAAGAAGGGGCAGTTTTGGGTTGCCCATGTTTCTTTTGAACTGTTATTAGATACCCAGATGGAGTTGTCAAGTGCTCAGTGAAATACTAGTCTGGAGTTTAGAAAGACCGGGGCTGGAGATAGGGGTTTGTGAGTCATGGGACTGTGGATGGGAGTTAGAGATGACTCTAAGTAAGATCACTAGGGAAAACACAAAGTGAAAGAAGTGACCAGAAGGAAGAGGTTGAGAAGGATTCCAAGATCAGCAGCCACGGAGGCAGCAGACCAGGCAGAGTATGATGTTGACTATGTCTACTGCTGCTGCAGCAGTGGGGGATGAGCCAGTCACACTGTAAGGTTTGACGCCCATGAGGGCAGTGGTTGTGTTGTGGAGTCTGTGGAGAGGTTTAAAAAGAGGGTCAGGGAGGACTTGTGAAACGGGGAACTAAAGACAAATCCTTAAAGAGAACTTCTAACACTTTTTTTTCAACTGTTTTTTTTTTTTTTTTATTTTTTAAATGTTTATTTTTGAGAGCGAGAGAGAGACACAGAGCGTGAGCGATGGAGGGGCAGAGAGAGAGAGGGGGACACAGCATCTGAAGCAGGCTCCAGGCTCTGAGCTGTCAGCACAGAGCCCGATGGGAGGCTTGAACCCACAGACCTACCAGATCATGGCCTACGCTGAAGTCGGATGCTTAACTGACTGAGCCACCCAGGAGCTCCGAGAACTTCTAATAGTTAAAAGAAGCAGAGAAACGGGACAAGAGCTGTGGGGTCAGTTATTTCTCTGAGACAAGTACTTTGCAACCATTTTACTTTAGTATGTGTCTCCATTTTCTCAGAATTCTAGTTTCCATTTTAAAGGTAGAAAATGAGACACAAAGAAGATCATGAATTGCCCAGGGTCAAGTAATTAGTAGGTGGTAGAATTGGGGTTTGAATACAGGCTTATGTGAATCAAGTATCATGCAACTAGTAAAACCTTTAGTATAGCCAATATACCATTCCTGAATGAAGATATAATTTAATCACATTTTCTAATAAGCAAAACATGTATGCTCGACTAAAATATTTATTTGATAATTTACAGCAAAGTTCTAATATGGCTTTTTTAGAGATCTTTAAAAATATCCAATAAAATGTGCTTTATTATTTTTTTCCCTAGAGAAGTACTAATCATGTAGTATCATTTCAATCAAAATCCAACTCCTAAGAGGAAAAGAGCAGAAGAGATCACAATTTCATATGTTGTACTGAGAAATAAGAGACCTTCCTACATGATAGCTAATCCAGTCAAAATAATTGGCCACTTTAGTGTAAACACCAGGGAACTCTGGTTTTCCGCAGTTTTCACCCCAACTCACAACACCCCAAACATAAGTCACATTGTTGATATCTTGACAGACTAAGGGGCCTCCAGAGTCCCCTTTACAGGCATCGATGGAACCGTCATCTGTACCTGGAAAAGACAAAGGGAAAAGAAAATCACACATGTACTTCCATTTGCTGAGGCCACCATGCCGACTTCCTGTCTCCTCCACCAATGCGTGTACCAACTTTGGCTCTCTTACACTTTCCTAACACGAAATAACACATAATCTCTTACAGGTCCCTACTGGGCGCATCCAGTTGTATACTTTGTCTTCTGCTCATTCTGCAAATTTAGTGAGTGTTTCCCTTGCTTCCTCTATTTTATGCAAATTTATACTCTGATGAGATTGCAATCTGAAAGTGGCATCCAAGGCTGATTGGGAAAATAATAGGAATACTTAGTGCTTATTGAGTGCTTAGTATGTATTAGCCATTCATTGTTTTAATCCTAAACAACAACCCTATGAGGCAAGTATTATTATCCCTATTTTAAGATGAGACAAATAAGGCACAGAGAGGTTAACTAATTCGTCCAAGGCCATACAGTTAATAAGTGGCAAGAGGTTGGACTTGAAATCAGGCACCCAGACCTCAGAGCTTTTCCTCTTAATTGTGTTAATTGTCTTCCGACAGGTTTTGTGAAATTCTCCCCTTTTGTCCTCTGGAATTCCGAACTCCATTTAAGAAGGGAGGGAGGGCACAGGGAATGGTCTGTTTATTTTCTTCTCACTCTTAGGACTTTCTAAGGTTTTTAAGTCAGTGATCCAAAAAGTTACAGGATGTCAATAACTTTGCATTTTTCTGTAATACACTATTTATAAGTGGTTTTAATAAAGCATCCTAGGGGTGCCTGGGTGGCTCAGACAGTTGAGTGTCTGACTCTTGGTTTTGGCTGAGGTCATGATCCCTGGGTTGTAGGATCGAGCCCTGTGTCCAGCTCTGCTCTAAGTATGGAGCCTGTTTAATAATCACTCTCCCTCCCTCTGCTCCTCTCCCCAACTTGCGCATGTTCTCTCTCTCTTTCTCAAATAAAAAAATTAAAAAAGCATCCTAAATGCATTGCCCTGCCTGGTTCCCTGCCCTTGGGTCACCACCAAAGTAGGAACTGTTGTAGCTGTGTTAGGTAGGGGTACTAGCAACACTACGATATTAAAGAAGACACTGGCAGGTCTCATAAGAAGCAATGGGATTTCTGAGGAGGGAGAATTTACTTCCAACTGGACCCATTTGAAATGAGATAACTCAGATTTTTATGTAGAAGAAGTTTGGGTTTGGATCCTGGACATATCACTTCTTGTCTGTAAGACTTCGGGCAAGTTTTACACCTGCTCTGCATCTCAGTTTCCCATTTACTAAGATCCCTAATTTTGCAGATGAGGAAACTTGCTCAAGGTCACATGAGTAGTAATTGGTAAAAACTGAGATATAAACCCAGGCAGTCTGGATGCAGAGTCTGTGCTCTTAGTTACCTTGCTATACTGCTGTATGATAGCATAAGGAAGATTTTTCTTCTTAGTTTAGCATGAGGGAACTTGAACTAACAGGAAGGGAAGCAACAACCAGAAAGTCCAATTGAAGGGTCCAGGGCCCAGAGCAAGGGTGCAGATTTGGTGAGGAGGAGAGATGGTTGGTAGAGGGTATACGTACAAATCTTAGAGAAACCACTTAGTGCTTACCTGCACATTCCATTTTTTTTTCAAAGTAGCGACCCGGGTAAAACTTGGAGCAGTTGTCTATTAGCTTAACTTCACCCCACTGAAGTAAATAGACTTTTTGGTTATCTAAGCATAGTGAGAGAACAAACAGACATTTACAAGTCACAAATGAGGAATAACAATAAATACTTATTCTCATAACTTAGTGAACCATGAGGAATATAGAAGATTATATACATATTCCCTAATACATTATAGACTTCTGAGATAGTTCATTAGCATATTTAATCACACACTGCTCAGATGTCCAGTTTTTACAACTGTCTTTCTAAAAATAGTTAAGGGGTTGGGGCACCTGGTGGCTCAGTCGGTTGAGCGTCAGACTTTGGCTCAGGTCTTGATCTCACAGCATGGGTTTGATCCCATCGGGCTTTGTGCTGACAGTGGGGAGCCTGCTTCAGATACTCTGTCTCCCTCTCTCTCTTTCTGACCCCCCCACCCCTGTTCATGCTCTGTCTCTCAAAAATAAACATTACAAATAAATAAAAATAAAGATAGTTAAGGGTCATTACAGAACACATGCCCTAAGTCATACTCATTTAATAAAGACCTGAGATGAAGACAGTATACTCCTTCGCATCTGATTGCTGAGTCTAGTGGGGGAGCTGGGTAGGAGTCAGTGATCAGCATTTTCTAACATAAATAGCTCCTATCGTTTTACAGTCCTGCATTTCCTTGAAAGTGCTTCTTAGAGTGAGAACATCTTTTTAATGTAAGGAGTTAAATGAAGAAAATATATATGAAGTTATCAGTGTGTATGTGTTTCTATGTGTCTAAGGAACTCCATCTCCTAAGTGATTTGAAAGAGAGTCTAGGATTTCCTTTTCATTTAAGTTAGAGATTTGGGACTTGAAAATTTTTCATCCACAGAAAGAGAAGTGGCAGGCACTGTTGCTTATTGACAGTCCAGGGAAGATGAGGAAAACGTTAAGAATACAGGGTGAGATGTCTCTGGTGTAAGGAGTGAATCTTTGCCCCATCTCTCCTCCCCCTTTTCCCCAGCTTTCAGCAAATGTTATGCTCTAGGAAGGCAGGGACTAGGCCTGATTCACTAAATGCTATGCCAGCACCCAGCCTCATGCTAGCACAAAGTAGCTGCTTAATAAATATTTATGTAATTCATTAATCCATGAACTCAGTAATTCAATTACACTAAACATCTTATGCCAAATGACATACCCCCTCAGTTAATCTATAAGCTATCAGGAGACAGAGACTTCTGGCTAATCCTGAGAGGACACCTCCACGGATCCTAGCTGTGTAGTGAGCACATTGTAGTTAACTGTAAAACTAATATTCTTCTCTTCTGGGAAGCGGGGGAAGACAAAACTCCACCAGAGTATATGGCAAATTAGGAAGGAGTTTCTTCTTTTCTCCTTGAAGTCCTACCTAAAAGGTAATTTTACGATGCTACCTTCTTCAGGTTAAGAGCTTTTTTTTTTTTTTTAATTAGTAATTTATTATTTCCTCTAACTCAGGAGAAGCCTTTAAAAAACTGGGAACTCCTGTACTATGTGAACAGTTTTTAATGGCTCAGGAGAGTGTTTCCTTCCCTGAGCTCTTGTGTTGTATACTTTGTGAGGCACCTGTCCCATTCTGCTGTCTGATGGTGACATTCATATCTGATGCCTCCTCTGGACTGCAAGTCCCTTGAGAACTGGTCTTTGTCTTTCAATCTTCCAGCCTCTGCACTCTTTGATGACTGTGTCCATATTTTTCATCAGTGAAATCCTAGCATATGCTAATAAACACAGGATGGTTATTAGATGATATCATGGGATCACTTTCATTTTATTGGGTATGAATGGTGTTGTGTTTTTGTTTTATTTTTGTTTTTTTAAGTCCTTACCTGGTAAAGATATCTACTGGAATATTCGTGGGTGAAATTACATGATATCTGGGTTTAATATGCTCCAGGAAAAAATGAATGTGTTGGCGGTGGCGGGGGGGGGGGGGGGGGGGGGGGGGGGGGGGAGGAGAGGAAATATGTTTAATAGCTCCCAATTGTCCTTCAGATGTATCCTCCACCCTTCAGTGTCCTGCCCCCTGCCCAAAGAGGCTGACCTGGAGGGAATGCCTCAATAGGAACCCCTTAGCCTCTGGTTTCCAACATAAAACCCCAGCACAAGGAAGAGAGGGTAAGAAGAGAGGATAGCAATATTGGGGCTGGCTATAACCTTTAATCCAAAGTCATTGCTTCTCTCAAGGCACCCTGGTCTACCTGAAGCTCTTTCTCTTGGTAACTTCTCCTTCCTCTCATGTCTTCAGATCTAAGAGAGGCTGTTCTGGTACTGTTAGTCCTGGGTTCCTGCATAGACCTTGTAATTCCTCAACCCCCTACCCACATCCTTGTAATTAACCACTTTACAAATAACCCTTCCTAATTATCCTATTGTGATTGTGACTGATGCAGAGAGCTAAAACAAGAACCGTTGAGTGTTGGTAACTGGAAACTGGGTGATGGATGAGTAAGTAGATTTATAATACTTTTATCTCTGCTCCTGTGTATATTTGTAAACATAGACAATAAAAAAATTTTTTTTAAACAAACGTAAGGACATAATGCCTTCTGGATAAATTAATTACTAACAAAATTTAGTCTTGCATATTCAACCATATGACGCATTTGGGTCAATTTATACGTATTTTTTATACTTTTCAATGTGGCAATTATAAAGAATGTGCTACAGTATAAGTCTGTAAGACCAGTGTTGTGAAGTTATTTACAAAGAAAATGTAGGAGGTCAAAAGGAAGCTAAATTTCAAATTTAACCCTTCAAGACAAAGGGAAAAGCATTGACTAATTTTAATCAAACTTCAAATTTAGTCAATTTTTCTAATAAATCGTCCCCACATGTCTACAATCTACATCTCTTATTCATACAAACATCCACCTCAAGTCTTCTTAGAAGCCTAAGGAATAATTCTTTATGTTTTCTTCCTCTTTGCAGGATGTGACTGTGGGGGCAGGGGGCAAAGAGAATGGGGGAGTGGAGGAGAGAGCAGATTAAAGACTTACCTATACTGTGACTCTTCCCTTGAAAACCATTTTATCTTTCATCCATGTCTCTCTAACAAATCCAGAAAGTCCATGCTACATACGTCCCCCTGTCACTCTACTTTTTTTTTCTTTGTAAATGGTTACCCCTCAACATATGCTTCAAGATCACACAGTGTAGGTATCCTTTGAAACTCTGGATCAGGATCAGCTACATAATTTTCAGGGCCCAGTGAAAAATAAAAACGTGAGGTGGGGGCCTCTGCAAAAATTAGTAAGAATTTCATGACAATGACAGCAGAGCATTACACTAAGCATGGGGCCCTATGGAGCCTGGGGTACTGGGCAACTGCACGGGTCTCATGCCCATGAAGCCAGTCCTGCCTGAATGCTCTTTTTCCTGGATTTAAGGCTATGTTTCTCTCTTTGTACTAGATTAGCTCCTATCCATTTATATTCTCATTTATTCCAGCCCCTGGATTCTGATTAACAAATTTTAAAGCATGTACCTTTTTCTCGGCCCCAGCCAGAAATAATGCATCTGTCATTAGGTTGGAATAGATATGGAGACCAGGGGACACAGGCAGGGACAGAATTAGGCAGCACACATTCTTTTCTGTTTGAGTGTTTTTTCATTTCAATCAAAGCTATGTCATTTTCATAGCTGCTTCCATTGTAGTTTTCATGGATAATAATTTTATTTGCTAGCTGAACAACTAGCTCTTCCTCAGGTCTTAACAGATGTAGAAATGATGTCCATATTTGGTAATGGTGAACTTTACTGACACTATAACGGAAAGGAAAAGTGAGATAAGATATATTTATATTGAGAAAAAAACAATTATAAACATGAACATCTGATGTTTCATCTTTATATTCTCCCTTTTAAAGGACTTTCTTCCTTTTCTCAGATTTTTTAATCGTGAAGGGGTTTGCTGTCGTGAAGCGATTTGATTAAATTTATGGGATACAATTAAAGTCAGTGGGTAAATGAAGAGAGGAATAAGCAATCCATCTAAGTGGTCAATATCAGGGACATACAGAACTCACTAATAACCAGAGATGCCTAGAAGTGGAATGAATTGGCTGCCTCTGGAGTGTGAGCACCATCACTGAAGGTGTTCAAGCAGAGACTAGAAAGCATGTAGCCATGGGGAAATGGGGAATCAGGACACACATCATTACTCGCTACCCCAGAGGTTCTCAGGGTGAAGACCACAGCAGTCACTATCCTGACATTTAAGATTGACTTCATCCTAATACTGCATCTTATTTATTTGCTCACAAGTCTTTCTTCCTGTTGGACTGTGCCACCTTAAGTCAAAGATAGGGTCAAATTCATCTATGGATAGATGCCTGCATCTAGCATTGTGCCTGGAATATATTAGCTGTTTTAAAATTCAGTTGGAATGGTAAATGAGCTAAATATTGTCTCTTATTCTGCCTCACTTAATTTGCACACCAATTTTTACCTCATGGTTTCCAACAAATTGGCATTTACCATCATTTTCACAGGTAATCACCTAACAGTTAAACCGTGATGTTTCAGGAGCTAATGAGGTATTCGGGATTTCCAAGAATGGTGTGCTTCATATAAATTTTGGTTGTTTTTAAGGACCAGAGGTCCTGAATATTGTTTAAAGGTTAACCCTGTTTATTCATTCAATTTACTCAACAAATACTTAAAGTGTATACCTATAATAGTCAATAAATGACTATTGCCAGGCACTGTGCTAGCTACTGGGCTACAGAAATGAGCAAAATCAGAAATAGTTTCTGCCTTCATGGAGCTCAGGATCTAGATGCAGTATTAAATGGATAATGACAATAATGAGGATATGATTCTACCATGTAAAGTGAGAGGAATCAACAGCACATGGGTTCTGAGAACTTATCAAGATGGCTTTGACTTTAAGGGAGTCTGGAAAGATTCTCTGAGGAAGAGAAGATGGGGCTGAGATCTGAATAAAGAGCAGCACTGACTAGATAAACAGGGTAGGAAAGATCATTGCAGGCATGAGAAGTAACACATGAAGGTCTCTTTGCAGCAGGGAGCAAGGTGAACTTGAGTAGCTGAACAAAGTCCAAAACAGGCAGAGCAGACAGCAAGAGTTGAAGCTGTGGGGCAAGATGAAATTGGTGAAGGTAAGTAGGGATCAGATCATATGGAGCCTAATGGGCCATATTAAAAACATCATTTAGAGACACTCAGGTGGCTCACTAGGTTAAGTGTCCGACTCTTGATTTTGGCTCAGGTCATTATCTCATACTTTGTGGGTTTGAGCCCCGTGTCGGGCTTTGTGCTGACAGTGTGGGGCAGGCTTGGGATTCTCTCTCTCCCTCTCTCTCTCTGCCGCTCCCCGCTCATGCTCTCTCTCTCTCTCAAAATAAATAACTAAAAAAAAAAAAAACCCAACAACATCATTTAGACACTCTAGCAACAAATGAGCCTGGCAAAGCAAGTGTCTGACATTTTCATCATCTCTTAAGGGAGAAGTGGACCAAGTTATATAACTTGTCAGTCTCAGTCTACTAACCTACAAAATATTTACCTCTTAGGGCTGTTAAGAATATTAAAACAAGACAACATATGTGAAAGTGCACATACATTATCTAATCTGTAAGAGGTGCTCAATAAATGATGCCTCATTCATTCTAAAGATGAGAACTGAGGCTGGAATCCCAAACTCTGCCCTCCTCCTTGCTGATCTTGACTCGTTATCAATACCTTTTTTGTACTGCCCTTCAGCCACTGGTATGGACTGGATTGTGTTCCCCTAAAATTCATAGGTTGAAGATCTAACCCCCATCATAACTATATTTGGAGATATAGTCTTTAAAGAGGTAATTAAGTTTAAAACAGGTCATAAGTGGAGCTCTATTCCCATATGATTGATTGGCCTCTTTATGAGAATAAGAAGAGACATCAGTGATGCACACAGGTACAAAGCAAGCAAGTCAGGGCTGGAGCGGCATGTGAGACAATTAGTACCGAGCTTTGAACATCTTCACTGTCTGGAACACGTATCAAAGACACTTAAGAGGACATGGAAGGTGAAACAATGCTTTGTGTATTTGAAGTCTTTAAATGCATGCAGCTCTTTAAACAACATCCTCATTGAGGTGAGACCAGAGAAAATGCCAGGCTACTATCATTTTTTTATACACTTTTCAGTCATACACTCGTCTCAACAGTTTGGTCCTAACTCTACAAAACGTAGGTACTATCTATTTGCTTTCCCTATTTGCTTCCCATCATGCAAATGTGCTAAGTGACACAACTTGGGACCTATGGGTTTGATCTGACCTTGCCATCTGGGATCAATAATTTGGTCTGGGGGGAAGAACTCAGTAGCTTCTGGGGGGATGGCCTCTGGGGTTCCTATCATGAATATTGTAGGGGATTTAGCTGTTAATAGAGTGGAATTTGTCACGTGGTTTTATTTATCATCTGCCACAATCTCTATTACCCATTTTTATTTTTTCAAGGAATCCAAAATCTTATTGGAGACATTTTTTACCTGACACAGTGTGCAGCAGTTAGAATCCAACAGCCTCCAATATAAATTCCTCCACAGTTGATTTTCTCATTATCCTTAATTGCCACCTGCCACGGGAAGTCTCCCTGTAGAAGACATTGGTGTGGTCACTGCCATTCTACCAGACGGTGGTACAGACAGGAGACCCTAAGATGCGTCCATTGCAAGAATCCCAGTCTCTTATCATTACATATCCTCCCCACCCACTTTTAGTTTCTCGAACTTGGACTGCTCCTGGGAAGTCATAGGTTTACCACTTCTGCTGGCTTTCCTCCGACAACTCGTTTCCTTCGAGTGGGCTGGATGGGTTTAACTCCACAGGATAGTTTTGGGAGAAGTGACTTTATCCGTTTTCTTTCTTCAAGAAAGGAAGAGATTGTATCATTATGATTTTGAACCCATTACTTCTTGATGATCTATGCCACAAACACAGCAGAGTCACAGCTAAAATAAAACAGTCTGAATTGATTCATAAATTATTTTGGATGCTAAGTGGTACTATTTACCTTGTTTAAAAATTCTGGCTTAATACGAGAACTGGCTTGATTCTCTGAAGTTCTGCTTAAAGACACACTGGGGGCAGAAAGAGGCTAGCTGTGGGGGTTAAATATTTACCAGTCCCTGGCAGATAAAAAATGTCACATGGCCAGGCATACTCAGGACGAGGGTCTCATTCAGAAATCATCAGAATGAGATGATAACACGGGCACCTATATCTTCTCACTTTCATAGTTTTTACTTTTTAGTGGCTGTTCATATGGAATTCTTTTCAATCATATTAATGTTAATGATGTTAACATTTGAGTACTTTCTATGTGTCAGTCCCCATGCTAAATACTTTGTATATAGTTTATCTCATCTAATCATCACATTAACCCTGAGAGGTAACGTGCCAGGGACCCATGGAAAATTCAGGATCAGTGGGCTAAAGGGTGTTTTTTAGTCACTTGACATGCGATGATATTTCCTTTCTCTGTGAGTGTTTAGATGTGGCATACTTGTCACAGAGAACATGGCAGAGAAAGACTTAAGATGTGAATTGGCAAAAGAATTCATGAAAAAGAAGAAGGTAAAAATATAAGAGGTTTTCCTTATTCTTTCTATATATTTTACCACATCACAAAAATTTTTACAAACTTGCTTCTTAGCCCCAAATGAGAAAATTAATATCACTGTCAGTTACTTTGAGCATATAAGAAGGAGGTAGGTCCTTACGGGAGAGAAGTTGTGAGTGAATCTGGGTAGATTTGTTTTTTGTTTTTTTGGTTTCTTCTTTTCCATTTTGTTTTGTTTTTTTTGGTCCCACCCGTTCTAAGAACAAGGTTGGGGGAAGAGTGTGATGCTAAGATTTTAAATTTCGTTTTGGACCTTTAAAAAGACAGAGACCTCCTCTAATGAGGACTATGGAAGCAGTTTGGGTACTATCTGAAAACTGATGCTATCTTGCGTAGAAAATAAAGGGCCTTTGTGGAAAATCTCTTCAGACTGATATCTATATCTTTACGATCTAGGGGTGCCTGGGTGGCTCAGTCGGTTAAGTGTCCTACTTTGGCTCAGGTCATGATCTCGCGGTCCGTGGGTTTGAGCCCCGCCTCGGGCTCTGTGCTGACAGCTCAGAGCCTGGAGCCTGTTTCAGATTCTGTGTCTCCCTCTTTCTCTGACCCTCCCTGTTCATGCTCTCTCTCTGTCTCAAAAATAAATAAATGTTTAAAAAAAATTTAAAAAAAAGATCTAAATCTTTTACTCATCACCTGATGAAAAAAAATAGTTAATTAATTTGGGGCCTGGCAATTAGAGGAGAGTCTTACATGAACTTTCACTTAAATTCTCCCCAAACAGGGAGCTATTTATTCCCAATTTGTATTTGAGGTTAAGTTGTTCACCTAAGGTTACACAGTAAATAAATAATGAGTCAGGTTGTAACACAAGATTGTCTGACCCAAAAGACAGGGTCAGGGATTTGATGCTTTAATTCATTTGGCTCTTAGTATACAACTGGACAGGATACAGATCTTCACAGACCTTCTGTTATCATACTTCAAAACATTGTAAAAGAACAAGTTAATTCAAGTAAAGTCCATTATTTTTCTATTTCAAAATGTATGTCATGTGCCATGCTGGAAATCTGGTTGTTTTTGACAAAACTGACCTGACAAAGCTCACAGCAAATAAAAAAAGTTTATGTAGGTCTAAAATATTGTTTTCACTTCAAAATTTGCCTTGTGAATGAACCTATTTTTAAAAGCAGTTCCCAAGAAGCATATATATTTGTTTTTCTTAAAAATGATAAGGAAAGGAAAAGAGTAATGTTATTTTTTTCTATTTAATTGATAACAAAGGTAATTGTTGTTTGAATCAATTATACACACACACACACACACACACACACACACACACACACAACATTAAAATGCAGACTTAAACCAGGGAAGCACTAGTAAAACAGAATAATGTTGGGGCATCTGGGTGGCTCAGTCGGTTAAGCGTCTGAGTTCAGCTCAGGTCATGATCTCATAGTTTGTGGGTTCAAGCCCCGCGTCAGGCTTTGTGCTGACAGCTCAGAGCTTGGAGCCTGCTTCAGATTCTGTGTCTCCCTCTCTCTTTGCCCCTCCCCAACTCATGTTCTGTGTGTCTCCCTCAAAAATAAATGTTAAAAAAAATTTAAAAACAAACAAAAACCCCCAGAATAATGTTAACTTACCTGCATCCATATTAGCAGTCAAAAGTTCTGTTTCTTCTATAAGAAAACAAAAAGTTCCAATGTTTATCCTTGTGTTTATAATAAAAATTAATTAAAATCATTAAAACTTTGATCATAATTTTCTGTCTTAAAACTTGTCCTCTCTTTAAAAAGGACAGTACAAATCCCCAAATCACACCATCTAATTTCCTTTCTATACCTAGGTAATTGTGAAGGCTCATGATGAACTGTGTAGAAATTTTGCAGGCACAAACTGGGTGTCTTGGTACAAGTAAATGGTGAGACTCCTGGTGCAGTGCTTTTCTGCATTCAGAATGCTTGGGTCAGAGAAGGAAAGCTTCTTTTTCAACTCTGATTCATAAAGTCCTTACATAAGGTAGGGAACAGTGACTAACACTGACCAAAAGAGTACTGAGCTGACATTAAAAAGGCTCTTCTCATTTTGTACGTAATAAGGCAGCTCTTCAGGAGTCATACAAAGATATTATAGTAGGCGTTGTTAGTATTAGGCATCTGGGATATAGAAGTTAAAAACATAAACAAAAGATTTTCTCCTCTTCCTTAGACTTTTGCTTGAAGTTCTATGGGATGATTCCATCTTCACTTTGTCATCCTAGAACATTTCAGAGGACAGGATCGTGATTTTTTTCAGCTGAGGGGGGTCCAAAGGTGGATTCCCACCAGCATGTTGTTTGGTCTTGGGTGAGGATGTGTCTGTGGATGGCACAGCCCAGAAGGGCAATGTTACTTGACTGCAGCAATCATGAGTCTTGTCTCTGGACAGACATAGCTATATCCACATTCCTAGGTTATTTATTTTCTGGGACAGAGAGAGGCTCTGCTCAGAAGCTTTCACAAAAGCACCCTTATGAATCAAAGAGGAGATTCAAACATTCATATTAAATGCTCAACAAAGGAAGATGAGGAAAGTCCAGTGTAGCTGAGGTGTGCTGGATATTTGAAAAATATCACAGAGCTCCAAAAGCACAAACCACAAGAAAAGTGTCAATGACTTTGATTTACATAAAGATCTCTATTCAACAAAGCTCACTATGGATAAAGTTAATAGATGGGTGACAGAATGGAGGAAGGTATTTGCAATGTCTAAGACTGAAAACGGATTTAACATCTAGAATGCAAATCAACAAGACTGCAACCCCAATGTGAAATTAAGCAAAAGATATGTACTTGCGAAAGGATACAGTAAAGAAAAGGTGGAAACTCAAAAGCTAGTATGAAGAGAAACTCAAAGTCATTGGTTATTATAAAAATTCAAATTGATACATAATGCCATATGGCCTGACAATATGAGACTAGCAAAATTAGAAAGCTGGAGAACACTTAATGTTAGTGAGGATGAGGAGAACCCTCGGGCATTGTTGGAGGTAGAGGTAAGGACTGGTATAGCTCTGCCAAAGAACATGCAGGCAATAGTTAGCCAAGTTAAGTAGATGCATGCCCTGAGACCCAATACTCCTTGTCCAGCTAGATGTCTCAGAGAAATTCTCTCACACATCCTGAAGGAGAGAATATGACTGACAGCTGCGAGTCTGTTACTGAGAAAGTAGGCAGTAAATTGTGAAAGATGAACAGAGGGATTCAGGCAGAAAGTTAGAAGCAAAAATTAGATGGACACAGAGCAACACAGACAGATCTTTAAAACTTAATGCTTTATAAAAAGAAATAAAGGAAATAATGAGATCTACAACACCATATTATGTGACTTAAAAATGTATGCTCACAAGAGAGTACACTTGGGTAAGAATGTGTACAAACAAGGCATACACATTTTAATACACATTAAAATGGTTGCCTAAGGGGGATGGGAGTAAGGTACTGAAATAAAGGAGAATAAATAAAACAAGAGAGGTGCCCTGCCTAGCCCAATGCTGATTATGTGGAATAAGCAGAGGAGTGTCATGAACGCATCTCTTTGCACCTGAGGTCTGAAGGAAGGAAGGAAGGGAGGGAGAGAGGGAGAGAGAGAGAGAGAGAGAGAGAGAGAGAGAGAGAGAGAGAGAGAAGGAAGGGGAAAAGGAATAAAGAAGGAAGAAAATAAATTACAGCAAAGAAATAATTGAGATTAGGCATTTAGAACAGGGGTGATCTTGAACATATGAAAGTCCCCCAGGAATTGTAAAAAAATCCTGAGGAGGACCATAAACTTCTGATAGTCATATTATATGAATAATAAAGAAATACTAAACATATGAATTTCATATAAACAATACGGAAATTTATATGAATATAAAGAGATAATAATTCATTTTTATGAGTAACAAAGGGTAGCTCTAAGAGCTGGAGGACTTGGGGACATCTGACTTATAAAAGTAAGTGAGAAAATACCTATCATGAAAAGATCTTATCTCTCCTCTGGTGGCAATTTCTTCAGGAATTGCTTTGGTTTTGAGGAAAGAGTAAAGGAAGAGGAGAAGGGTATTCAGCAAAGGTGAAATGCACCAGGAGCCATTTGGGTGGTTTTTGGTTAGCAGGCCTTGGATGGTGAGTGTGAGAAGGAAAGTTTACCACACTGTGAGAAAGGTCTCTGTGCCTACACTAAGGTGAAAGCTGAGCTACTACTATCACATATTATCTGCAATTTATAGCTACACTGACATATAAGAAGATACCCGTAGTTCTTTTTTGCTTCATTTCTGCAATATCCCAAGAATTTAACTAAAATTTTTACCTTGAGCCACATGTAAAAAAACCCCAAATTTACCACAGCAAAGGATAATTTTTGAGAAAAATGCATAATGTCAATATATTGCACATGTATCAGAAAAGTGCAATACCTTATCCTTGTTTTCAATTCTGTAATATAAATTTTATGATAGAGATTTACCTTTAATTTCAGAATGTCCAGGTCCTAAAACAAACAAACAAACAAACAAACAAACAAACAAACAAAAAAAACACTCACTGTAGCAAAGAGATCATGTTCACCTGAATATACACAAATCATTAATATTTCAGAAACAGTAAAACAACTCAGTATTTATAAATAGATAAAAGGGAATCACAGTATGTCGTATTTCTTTGATTTTTAATACCACAAAACCAATATTTCATGTTGCATTTAAACACACACCAAGAAAATAATTTTTACCTGAGTTTTAAAAAGAGATGTATATTTGGGATATATTTGAGCACATACTGACAGCAAACTTACTATAGAGTCATACAAAATTTATAAGTCTTTAAAACTATTTCTAAAAGGTGGGCTTTCAAGGATAAATGAAACCAAGCTATACTCCAAACTTCCCTTGGTTTAGTGATTCTGATCTGTCCACTGAAAGATCGATGAATATATTAATATTTTTATTTTACATCTCTTCTCTCACTTGCTCTTGCTTAGAGGTGGAATAATTAGAACCACTACTAGAAAGCAAAAGGTGGCACTCATTCGAAAGAAGGGTAAACTGGGGTCACGTGGGTGGCTCAGTCGGTTAAGTGTCTGACTTTGGCTCAGGTCACGATCTCACGGTTCACGAGTTCGAGCCCCGCGTCGGGCTCTGTGCTGACAGCTCAGAGCCTGGAGCCTACTTGGGATTCTGCATCTCCTTCTCTCTCTGCCCCTCCCCTGATGGCGTTCTGTCTCTTTCTCTCTCACTAATAAATAAACATTAAATAATAATAGTAATAACAACAACAATAATAATAATATGGGGTTCTTGGGTGGCTCAGTCAGTGAAGTGTCCGACTTCGGCTCAGATCATGATCTCACAGTTCGTGGGTTTGAGCCCCATGACAGGCTGTGTGCTGACAGCTCAGAGCCTGGAGCCTGCTGTGGATTCTGTGTTTCCCTCCCCAGCTTGCACTCTGTCTCTCTCTCTCTCTCAAAAATAAGTAAACATAAAAAAAAAAAACTTAAAAATAATAATAAGGAAGAAAGAAGAGTAAACTGAGGTAACAATGACAGTTGACTAAATGTATTTTTGATATGGATTCAAAAAATTGATAAAAAAAGTAAGCTTTTATAGTTCACTCCCTTTCAGTAGAATTTTTTTTGCCTGATAAGCTAACAAATTGTGTTCTTTGACCTTAAACTTTATTTTTCATTTATTTTTTTATGATTTATTTTTTTTCAATATATGAAATTTATTGTCAAATTGGTTTCCATACAACACCCAGTGCTCATCCCAAAAGCTGCCCTCCTCAATACCCATCAGCCACCCTCTCCTCCCTCCCACCCCCCATCAACCCTCAGTTTGTTCTCAGTTTTTAAGAGTCTCTTATGTTTCGGCTGTCTCCCACTCTAACCTCTTTTTTTTTTTGTACCCCTCCCCCATGGGTTTCTGTTAAGTTTCTCAGGATCCATATAAGAGTAAAAACATATGGTATCTGTCTTTCTCTGTATGGCTTATTTCACTTAGCATTAACACTCTCCAGTTCCATCCACGTTGCTACAAAAGGCCATATTTCATTCTTTCTCATTGCCACATAGTACTCCATTGTGTATATAAACCACAATTTTTTTATCCATTCATCAGTTGATGGACATTTAGGCTCTTTCCATAATTTGGCTATTGTTGAGAGTGCTGCTATAAACATTGGGGTACAAGTGCCCCTATGCATCAGTACTCCTGTATCCCTTGGGTAAATTCCTAGCAGTGCTATTGCTGGGTCATAGGGTAGGTCTATTTTTAATTTTCTGAGGAACCTCCACACTGTTTTCCAGAGCTGCTGTACCAGTTTGCATTCCCACCAACAGTGCAAGAGGGTTCCCTTTTCTCCACATCCTCTCCAGTATCTATAGTCTACTGATTTGTTCATTTTGGCCACTCTGACTGGCGTGAGGTGATATCTGAGTGTGGTTTTGATTTGTATTTCCCTGATAAGGAGCGACGCTGAACATCTTTTCATGTGCCTGTTGGCCATCCGGATGTCTTCTTTAGAGAAGTGTCTATTCATGTTTTCTGCCCATTTCTTCACTGGGTTATTTGCTTTTCGGGTGTGGAGTTTGGTGAGCTCTTTATAGATTTTGGATACTAGCCCTTTGTCCGATATGTCATTTGCAAATATCTTTTCCCATTCCGTTGGTTGCCTTTTAGTTTTGTTGGTTGTTTCCTTTGCTGTGCAGAAGCTTTTTATCTTCATAAGGTCCCAGTAGTTCATTTTTGCTTTTAATTCCCTTGCCTTTGGGGATGTATCAAGTAAGAGATTGCTACGGCTGAGGTCAGAGAGGTCTTTTCCTGCTTTCTCCTCTAAGGTTTTGATGGTTTCCTGTCTCACATTCAGGTCCTTTATCCATTTTGAGTTTATTTTTGTGAATGGTGTGAGAAAGTGGTCTAGTTTCAACCTTCTGCATGTTGCTGTCCAGTTCTCCCAGCACCATTTGTTAAAGAGACTGTCTTTTTTCCATTGGATGTTCTTTCCTGCTTTGTCAAAGATGAGTTGGCCATACGTTTGTGGGTCTAGTTCTGGGGTTTCTATTCTATTCCATTGGTCTATGTGTCTGTTTTTGTGCCAATACCATGCTGTCTTGATGATGACAGCTTTGTAGTAGAGGCTAAAGTCTGGGATTGTGATGCCTCCTGCTTTGGTCTTCTTCTTCAAAATTACTTTGGCTATTCAGGGCCTTTTGTGGTTTCATATGAATTTTAGGATTGCTTGTTCTAGTTTCGAGAAGCATGCTGGTGCAATTTTGATTGGGATTGCATTGAATGTGTAGATAGCTTTGGGTAGTATTGACATTTTGACAATATTTGTTCTTCCAATCCATGAGCACGGATGACCTTAAACTTTAGAGTTTTGAATCAGGAGAAGAAAGAGGAGGAGGAGGGAAAAGGGGCAGAAGAGGAGGAGAAGGAGAAGAAACCCCAAGTAGTATTATACTGAAAAGTGAAATTGAACTGTAGAGCTTCAGAGAAAGACAAATACATGATCTCACCCATATGTGGAATCTAACAAAACAAACTCATAGAAAAAGAGATCAGATCTGTGGTTACTAGAGGCAGAGGGTGAGGTAGGGAATTAGGTGAAGGTGATCAAAAGGTACAAACTTCCAGATAAGTGCATGCTGGAGATGTAATGTACAGCATGGTGACTATAGTTAACATTGCTGTATGGTATACTTGAAAGTTGTTTCGTGAGTAAATCTCTTATCACAAAGAAAAAAGAATTGTCAACTCTATGATGAGATGGATGTTAACTAAACTTACTGTGGTCATCATGTCCCGATACATGTGTCAGATCAATATGCCGTTCACCTAAACATAAACAGCATTGTATGTTAATTCTATCTCAATAAAACTGGAAGGGAAAAACTGTCCATCTTCACTGGCAAGAGTCAATGGCTTCCCGTTCTCCCTGAAAAATGTTTTAAAATTTATTTCTTTCCTCTTTTTACTAAGATTATAGCTACATTTAATGAACATAAAGTACATTGCTCAACTGCTTATATAAGCATCAAAAGAAATAATGATTTGAAATCCTAAAACCGTGTGTTTTTACATTTAAGAACTGATGTCAATGGGGAATTAAATAAGTCTTCAGTAAACTCAAATAATACCAAGCAATGCCAAAAAAGAATTATTATTAATTCATGTATCCATACATATCTCCGACATTTATTTAATGCTTATTTATAAGGCATATTTGAATTTTTTTTCAACGTTTTTTATTTATTTTTGGGACAGAGAGAGACAGAGCATGAACGGGGGAGGGGCAGAGAGAGAGGGAGACACAGAATCAGAAACAGGCTCCAGGCTCCGAGCCATCAGCCCAGAGCCTGACGCGGGCTCCAACTCACGGACCGTGAGATCGTGACCTGGCTGAAGTCGGATGCTTAACCGACTGCGCCACCCAGGCACCCCTATAAGGCATATTTGGAATATAAAAACAGATTCTGTTTTCAAGGGGTTTACTGTTGACAAGGGAGGGGAAGGGAAGATAGGTACAAAAAACTACAATAAACAGTTAACAGTGGTGTCCTGACATGGGGGTCTATCACCACATCAGAGACTAGGTCACCACTTCCTGGTTTGTGTTCTGTGGCATCATATAAATTTGGCTTGAAATCACCCATGGTGGGAGTAATCACACCACAGGAATTAGCAAAAGCTACAAATCAGGGATTTCCTCTCCCTCTCCAAAGCCAATTTACCAGTATCTACCAGCACACCACTGGATAAATTTCATAAACGAAGCAGATACAAGCATGCCTACTGCTCTCACAGTCTTCCCCATCTTTGTTGAAAGCAGCTCCATTTTTCCAGTTCTCGGGCCCACACCCCTGGAGTCACCCTTAACTGCTCATTTCTTCTCATGCCTCCATCTAACTACTGGTCAATCCTTCTGGCTCCAGCTTCAAAATACATCCAGAACGTGACTGCTTCTCACCATTTCCCTCCCTACCAACTTATTCTTGTCACTGTCATCTCTTCCCTGGATGACTGCGTGGCTTCCTAACTGGCCTCCCTGCTTCTCCCCTTGCCCTTATACAGCCTAGTCGCCACACAGCAGCCAGAGTAATCTTGATTTCAACTGCAAGTCAGGGGCGCCCAGGTAGCTCAGTCAGTTGAGTGTCCAACTTTGGCTCAGGTCATGATCTCACAGCTCATGAGTTCAAACCCTGTGTCGGGCTCTGTGCTGACAGCTCAGAGCCTGGAAGCTGCTTCAGATTCTGTGTCTCCCTCTCTCTTTGCCTCTTCCCTGCTTGTGCTCTGTCTCTGTCTCTCTCAAAATAAATAACATTAAAAAATTATAAAAAATAAAATTAAATGTAAGTCAAATCATGTGGTGCCTCTGCTTTAAATTCCCTATTTCCCTTACTACCAGGCTTGACTATCTGCCCTTGTCTCCCTCCACCCACCCCAACCATCTGTCCAACCTCTCCAACTATTTGCTCTTTTTTTTTTTAAATTTAATGTTTATTTATTTTTAAGAGAGAGAGACAGAGAGACAGAGTGTGAGTGGGGGAGGAGCGGAGAGATAGAGGGAGACACAGAATCCAAACCAGGCTCCAGAGTCTAAGCCGTCGGCACAGAGCCCGATGTGGGGATCGAACTCAAACCTTGAGATCACGACCTCAGCCAAAGTCAGATGCTTAACTGACTGAGCCACCCAGGTGCCCCAACTATTTATTCTTTAACCTCTCACTACCAGCACCTGTGACACATGCCCCATTAGCCTCCTTGCTGCTTGCTCCTCAAATATCCTGGAAAGTTGCTCTCTTATGAACACTGCACTGGTCGGTGCCTCTGCCTAGAACACTCTTCCACAGACATCTGCATGGCTGGCTCCATCCTTTCCTCCAGCTCTTTACCTAAAAGTAACCTCAGTGCGTGAGCCTCTCCAGACTACCTTATCTAAAATTTCAGAACTTACCCCTGACATTTTATATCCTCCCTCCTCGCTTTATTTTTCTGCTTATACTTATTATTTTCCTACATATCTTACATATTTCTCTTGTTTATTGTCTCTCTTCCACCACTAGAATGTAAGATCAATGACGGGGCAGGGATTTCTGACATGTTACTCATTACTGCAACCCCAGTACCTAAAGCAGGGTATGGCACTGTTTAGTAAGAACTTAATAAATATTCACTGAGTAAATGAATGAGTATAATAACTTCCATAAACTTTTCCTCCAGAAAGCATTGATGTAAGCAAGAAGTCAGTCTGTGTGACACAGAGTAGGTACCTAGCAAATATTTTTTACCATCAGAGGTTTTCCAACGAGCACCAAAAAAACAAAGAGCATTAACTCATTGCTTTGAAACTTGGTAAATAAAGGGAAAGAATTAAACACTAGTCTTCCTTTTTATTATGAATTGCATTTCATGGAAACAAAATGGTTGATGAAGGAAAATTCTTCTCTATAGAAAACTAGTAAATAAATGCAGAAAGAATGCTGAATTAGAAATCACCATTTTATAGTTCCTATTGACAAAGGAATCTAGTCAACAATCACACAGGCTACTAAAGACCATTAAGATGAAAGGTTGTGGGAGAATTTTGTAAAGGAAATATCAAGCTGGTCCAGTGATCAATCTTAGTGTCACTAGTTGTGGGATACCCAGACAACATAACTTTATATGTAATAAAAAGGACATAGCACCACCCATCAAGAATTCTTGCCTAAAATATTGAACTTTGTATCTAATGAAGTCTCTAAAAATCCAGAATAAGGAACATCTTGTAGGCAAATGACCAAGTGTCTCTAAAAAATCAGTGGCATGAGAAAAATTGGTGGTGGATGGGTAGGTAACTTTTTTTTTAATTGAAGTATAGGTGACATAGTGTTATATTAGTTTCAGGTGTATGACCAAGTGATTCAACAATTCTATACATTATGCAATGCTGACCACAATAAATGTGATTACTATCTGTCATCATACAATATTACAGTATTATGCACTGTATTCTCTATGCTATACTTTTCAGCCCATGACTTATTTGTAACTGGAAGTTTATACTTTTTTTTAAAGCTTATTTATTTTGAGAGAGTGCAGGAGAAGGGCAGAGAGAGAGAGAGAGAATCCCAAACAGGCACTGTGCTTGATCTCAAGAACCACGAGATCATGACCTGAGCTGAAATCAAGAGCTGGTTGCTTAACCAACGGAGCACCCAAGTGCCCCTGGAAGTTTGTACTTCTTAATCTCCTTCACCTACTTCATCCATCCTCCCCACCTCTGCAGTCTGGAAACCACCAGTTTTTCTCTGTATTTATGTATCTGCTTCTGTTTTTGTTAGTTCTTTGGTTTGTTTTTTAGATTCCACATATAAGTGAAATCATATGGTATCTATCTTTCTCTGACTCATTTCACTTAGCATAATTCTCTCTAGGTTTATGAATGTTGCAAATGGCAAGAAGTCATTCTTTTTTAGGACTCAAGTAATATTCGGTGTGTGTGTGTGTGTGTGTGTGTGTGTGTGTGTGTGTGTATCACATCTTCTTTATCCATTCATCTGTCAATGGACACTTAGGTTGCTTCCATATCTTGGCTATTGTAAATAATGCTGCAATAAATATAGAGATGCATACATCTTTTTTGAATTGTTTTTGTTTCCTTTGGGTAAATACTCAGTAGTGGAATTGATGGATCATAGGGTAGTGGTGTGTGCGTGTGTGTGTGTGTGTAATTTTTTTTGAGAAACCTCCATGTTTTCCATAATGGCTGCAGCAATTTACATTCCCACCAATAGTGCACAAGGGTTCCCTTTCTCCACTTCCGCACTAATACTTGTTAATTCTTGTCTTTTTGATACTAGGTATGCTGACTGATGTGAGGTGATATCTCATTGTGGTTTTAATTTGTATTTCCCTGCTGATTAGGGATGTGTCTGTTGGCCATCTATAGGTCTTCTTTGGACAAATGTCTATTCAGGTCCTCTACCTATTTTTTAATCAAATAATTTGTTTTTTTGTGCATTGAGTTGTATAAGTTTTTATATTTTGGATATTAGCCCCTTATCAGATATATTATTCACAAATATCTTCTCCCATTTGGTAGGTTGTCTTTTTGTTTTGCTGATGGTTTATTTTGTTGTAGTCCCAGTAGTTTATTTTTGCTTTTATTTCCCTTGCCTGAGGAGACAAATCTGGAAAAATGTTGCTAAGGCTGACGTCTAAGAGATTACTGCCTATGTTCTCTTTTAGTAGTCTTCTGGTTTCAGGTCTCACCTTTAGGTTTTTAATTCTCTAGTCTATTTTGAGTTTATTTTTATGTATGGTGTAAGAAAGTGGTCCAATTTCATTTTTTTAAATGTACATGGCCAGCTTTCCCAACACCATTTATTGAAGAGACTGTCTTTTCCAGATTGTATATTCTTGCCGCCTTTGTTGTAGATTAATTTACCATGTAAGCATCAATTTATTTCTGGGCTTTGTATCCAGTTCTATTATTGATCTATGTGTCTTTTTGTGCCAGTACCATACTGTTTTGATTACTATAGGCTTGTAGTATATCTTGAAATCTAGGATTGTGATACCTCCAACTTTGTTCTTTTCAAGATTGCTTGGTTGTTCAGGGTCTTTTGTGGTTCCATAAAAATTTTAGGATTCTTTGCTCTAGTTCTGTGAAAAATACTATTGATATTTAGATAGGGGTTGCATTAAGTCTGTAGATTGCTTTGGGTATGGACAGTTTAACAATATTTATTCTTCCAGTCCACAAATATGGTAGATCTTTCCATTTATTTGTGTCACTTCCATTTTCTTTCATCAATGTCATATCGTTTTCAGAGTATAAATCTTTCACCTCCTTGGTTAATAAAATAAATACTTCTAGGTATTTTATTCTTCTTGGTGTAATTGTAAGTGGGATTATTATCTTAATTTCTTTTTCTGGTAGTTTATTATTAGTATATAGAAACACAACTGATATCTGAATGTTAACTCTGTATTCTGCAATTTTAGTGAATTCATTTATTAGCTCTAATAGGTTTTTGGTAGTCTTTAGGGTTTCCTATGTAAAGTATCATGTCATTTGCAAAGTTTGACAGTTTTGTTTTTTCCATACAAATTACGATGCCCTCCCTTCCTCCCTCCCTCCCTCCCTCCCTCCCTTCATTCCTTCCTTGTCTGATGGTTAGGGCTAGGACTTAAGTACTATGCTGAACAGAAGTGTCAAGAGTGGACATCTTTGTCTTATTCCTGATCTTAGAGGAAAAGCTTTTAGCTTTTCACCATTGAGTATGATGTTAGTCGTGGGTTTGTCATATATGGCCTTTATTATGTTGAGGTATGTTCCCTCTAAACCCACCTTGTTGAGTTTTTATCATGAATGGATATTGAATTTTGGCAAATTCTTATTTTGAATCTATTGTGATGATTATATGTTTTTATCCTTTGTTTTGTTAATGTGATGCATCACATTGATTGATTTGAGGACATTGAATCATTCTTGCATCCTTGGAATAAATCTCACTTGATCATGAATGATTCTTTTAATATTTTGTTGAATTTGGTTTATTAATATTTTGTTGAGGATTTTTGCATCTATGTTCTTTAGGGATATTGATGTGTAGTTTCCTTTTTTTGGTAGTGTCTGTCTGGTTTTGGTATCAGGGTAGTGCTGGCTTTATGGAACAAACTTGGAAGTTTTCCTTCCTCTTCTATTTTTTGGAATAGTTTGAGAATAGGTATTAACTCTTCTTTAAATGTTTGGTAGAATTAACCTGTGAAACTATTTGGTCCTGAAACTTTGTTTGTTGGGACTTTTTATGATTACCAGTTCTTTACATTACTAGTAATCAGTCTGTCCAGATTTTCTATTTCTTCCTGATTCAGTTTTGGAACATTGTATGTTTCTAAGAATGTATCAATTTCTTTTAAATTGTCCAGTTTGTTGCCTATCATTTTCATAGTGGCCTCTTATAAAAGCTTTTGTATTTCTGTGGTGCCAGTTACTTCTCCTTTTTCATTTCTGATTTTATTTATTTGACTCCTCTTTCTTTTTTTCTCAATGACCCTGGCCGAAGATTTATCAATTTTGTTTATCTTTTCAAACAAACAACACTTGGTTTCATTGGCATTTTCTATTTTTTTTCTTTAGTCTCTATATCATTCATTTCTGCTCTAATCCTTATATTTCCTTCCTTTTACTATCTTTGGGATTTTTTTTCCTTCCTTTTCTAGTTTCTTTAGGTTTAATGTTAGATTGTTTATTTGGGATTTTTCTTCTTTCATGAGATAGGCCTGTATTGGTATAAACATCCCTCCTAGGACTGCTTTTGCTGTGTCCCGAAGATAATGGATCGTTGTGTTTCCAGGTGAGTTAACTCTTAAAGAATAAAAGAGACTTTAAAAATTTAATAATCAAACACAATGTTAGATTCTTTTGGACCCTGATTCAAACACATTGTTCTAAAAAGACATTTTTGAGACAGTTGGGAAAACATGAACATGGGCTGTTATTAAGCAGTGTTAGGATATTATTATTTTTACGTGTACTAATGAGAGTATATTATGTACGTGTAAAGTGTATCATTAGAGATGCATATAGTGAAGTGACATAATATCTCAAATGTGCTTTAAAATACTCAAGCTGAACAAGACTGTCAAAATACTGGTAATTGTTGAAGCTGAGGCACATATTGGTTCATTCTAATAATCTGTCGATTTTTGTTATGTGGGAACTTTTCTAATAAAAAGTTCTGAAATAACCAATAAATATTTAATAAATGAAAACATGAGAGAAGAACATTCCATAGTTCTTCACATGCCCACTCTCAGTAGTACCCTTACTGCTAACACTCGTCTATACTCACTTAAGATTAAAATATACCTAAAAGGAAGTTGCAGAATCCCTGGATCAAATAATGGAAAAGTGTAACCACAAAACTTTCAATTACCTTTACAACCAATTTCATCTTCTCCTGTAATGCAGTCCAGCTCACCATTGCACTTATACTTATTTGGAATACAAACACCGGATTTACAAAGGAAACTTTTGCCTCGGCATCCTATGAAACATAAATGAAGAAGTTTTTATTTTTATTTTTTCTTACTTAAAGTCGAGTGGGATAGAATCTTAAATTCAAAAGTAAAGTTTCTCCTACTACCTTTACAGCACAGCTCATCACTTTGGTCTCCACAGTCATTGACACCATTACAGGTTTTCTTTTGAGGAATATATTTCCCATTCACACAACGAAAGGAGTCATTTGCTGAAGAAACTGTAAATTAGGAATGATCTTTGTGAAATTTATTTATGGAGTTCTAGGTGACATCTTTATCACACTTGGCATAATGGGGACTTTAAGATAAAGTCGGGCATCAAATAAAAAAGGATTTAATGTATTGGTAGCATCAACATAATATATATATGGTAAATAAAGAAAATAAATGTCAGAGTGGGTTTATGGAGGCCCATTCATTATCTCTGAAAATCAGTATTTATGGTGGAGGTCTGTACTCACTGGCATTGGAGAAGGAGGCTCAGGGATCAAGAGCCCTCGCTAACATCAGCAAGCACTGGTGTTCACCCATTTCTTTAATGCTGTTCCATGAATCCTCACTTCCATCCCATGACTTGCTTGGGCAGTGCCATTTACACTTTGATAGTCCTTTTTTTCTTTTCTTTTCTTTTTTTTTTTAGCACCAAAAAAGCCTTTAGTCTTTAAACCATACATAATACTAAAATATTCCAATGTCAGGATGGAAGAGAAAAGTGGCAGTGACTGCCTTGAGACTGAGGCATAGATGTGGTCACTTAAATATTTTAAAGGCATTTTGAAGTGTGTAGGCTGGACCTCTCAAAGAAGATGAGGTTTCTTCTGACATTTGAGTTACTTAGGTTTGTTATATTAACTTTAATCCAGATGTTTCAGGAAGCAAAGAGGAGTCAGGCAACTTTGCTTCCTATATAGGAGTATTTGAGTACACAGGAAAAGCACCAATTTAGGCTCTAAAGCCTCCAAAATGATTTTGCCTCTATTGCTGCAACTGAGTATCCATCATCTGTTTACTACAGTCATGGTATGGAATAAACAATTCTAAAGGAAGTTTTGAGGTTTCAGGCAAGCACTCTACCAACCTGTATTCTGTGTGTAACATACCACACCAGCTAAATCCTGGTAATTTTTAGTTCTTCTCTTAATAAAAGTGCATTCAGCCAAACTAGTTTCTAATCCTCGACAATGCACATGCAGACATTCGGTAGAATTCATATGGAGATCTTCAGGAACTTCAAAACTTTTTTGAGCCTCCAAAGCACCTCTGCAAATAGAATAAATGAAACATTAAGGTAGAATAATTTGTACTTTGCACTTATAACCTCACTATAGGAGGTAAGGAACTAAAGTAATTTCCTCTAATTTTCTACATAAGATACATTGAGCAAGATGCTTAAATTCTCTGAGGCTCAGTATCTTCACTTGTAAAAGAGAATATGACAATCTCAGCAAGTTTTATAAAGATTAATTAAAACAATCAATTTAAACTGACTAGCCAAAGTTCAAACCTGGTAAGCACTCAGCAAATATTAGTTTCCCCTCCTGTTTCTTGTTCAGGAGGAATCCTTCCACACTCCTGATGTTTCCTTCCAACCTAAGATGTATCATTCTTGGCCTCTCTTCATCTCTTAATTCCTTTTTGCTCAAGGAAAAGGAGTAGGATAATTGATCAGAGAATTTTGGAATTATAAATCAGACAAGTAGCTCATGTTTTCCATCTTTCCTTTTGGGGGCCTCTTCACCTGCCTCATGCTAGAAGGCTTACCTGGTTAGCCCTATTATTGCTTAGAATTTGGGAGGTTAACATGGTTCAATTCTAGCAGGTTCATTTTGTTTTTACATTAAGCTATATCCTCAATTCAGCCTTGACAGTATTAAGGTGATTTTTGGCATCTATATACCATTGCTTGGACTTTCTACTTTGTTCAGAATTTGTGCAGGTAAGAGGCTACCTCTATGACTCAATATCCTAGAGGTGATGAGTTGTAGTAAACTATTCTTCCAGAACATTCAATTGTTCCCTGCTTCTCTTTAGAAGGAAATGAGGAAAATGGTGTTATAAATAAAAAGTTGAGCAAAGATGCATCGGGTAAATATAAACAATAATAAAGCAATAAGGGCAATATAAATATAAGATCAATTAGAATGAAAGTCAGGGAGTGACTGGGTGGCTCAGTCAGTTCAGCGTCTGACTCTTGATTTAAGATCAGGTCATGATCTCATGGTTTGTGGGTCTGAGCCCTGCATCAGGCTCTGTGCTGATAGCGCAGAGCCTGCTTTGGATTCCCTCTCTCCCTCTCTCTCTGCCCCTCTCCTGCTCATTCTCTCTCTCTCTCTCTCTCTCAAAATAAATAAATAAGCTTAAAGGAAACAGGGAGGTATTTTTAATGATTTAAGATCCATAATGACGATATAAGAGTCATAAAACTGCCAAGCAGCATCAAAATATGAGAACAAATGAGAGCTATTGGGGCAATCTCAGAAGTATATAATTTGAAAAAAATCTCTCATTCTAAAACTATCCAAAAGTACTAGATAAAATATAATAAATGGCTTCAATGAGCTCTTAAAGAAGTAAGGGAAATATCCACTGGCTAAAATAAGAGAAGTCTGTCCATGAGCTTATACAAAATATGATAAAAGCAAAATACTGGGAGATCAAAGACTGAGAGAGTTTCCCATTAGGTTGACTTATAGGTTGTAGGTCACAAACTGTCAAAAATTACAAATATTCTGTGGCTCATTTTAATGATAAGATACTCTCACTAATGAACTTCTAGCAGATATGGTTTAGAAAGAAGGAAACTGAATTTAGCATAATATTGAGAGATGCAAAAAGCAGTAACAAACCAAGATGTTGGTGAACTTGAAGTACATCTGAATAAGCACAGTATATGTATGTATATAATATCATATATCATATATATATATAAACGTATATATGTATATATATGTGTATATATATGATGTATATATGATATATACATATATACATGATATATTGTATATATCATATATAATATATAAATTATATAATAATTATATATAAGCAAATATTTATATATTTTATATATTATATATGATATATATAATTATATAATGACAGTATGTATTATAATTGCTTATATAATGATAACAATTAACTTCAGGAATATATAAAAATAATGTGGAACTAAATCCTGGAACCTTGATAGAAATAATGAATTCTTTGTATTATTCCTGAAGAGGGTGAGGAATTCCTAAGTTAAGGATTCGTGGTATAAATGTGAAGATAACCACAAAAACAACAGAAATAGGATGTGTATAGTTTACAAACCAAGTAGAGGGGGAAGAGAGGGGAGAATGAAAAAACACAACAACTTTATTAACCCAGTAGAAGTTAGAAAAGGAAGAAAGCACACAGAAAAAGCAGGTTAAATAATAATTATAAAATAAGGGAAAATAAATTCAACAATGTAAATAATCACAATAATGTAAATGGACTAAACTATTCAGACAGTTATTGTCATACTGGATTTTTAAAAAAAAACCTAGATATGTGCTGTTTATAAGGGACACATTTAAAAGATAAAGACATAGAAAGCTTGCAAATAAGTAAATAGGAAAAGATTTGAACAAAGCAGTTATGAGCTTGCTTATTTTAATGGATAACATACTTATTATCTAGAACCCTGCCCCTGAAACGTTTAAAATATACTCAGCACAAAGCAAGTGTTAACAAATATTTAAACAATTATCATATAGGAACCATTCTCTTACAACAATACAATTAAATAGGAAATCTATAACAAAAAGTTAACTAAAAGCAAATATATATTCATTACAAAAGTAAAAAAGAAACTTCTAAATCAAAGAAGAATTATACTGAAAACCTGAAAATATTTCAAACTGAACAATAAATAAAATACCACTTTTATTGTATGCCACTGAGGCTAATGGCATGCAGATGATGCATTACCTAGAGAGAAATTTGTACCTTAAATGCGTATATAAGAAAATAAGAAAAATTGAAAATTTAGGAGTTAAGCATTTAACTCAAGGAATTAGGAAAATACAATAGAGAACAGAAGAGAGAGAGCCAAAGATAACAACAAAAGTTAATGAAGTGAGAGTAAAGTAACAAGAGACAATTTATGTATAAGATATACAAATAAAAACCACTATCAAATAGACAAATCTCTTCAAGGTTGACCAAGAAAAAGAGAGAGAAGACATAGATAAACAATATTAGGTATGAAAAAGTGGGGATAATTATAGACAAGTAGAGATATACAGTAATGAACATGTTTATAGCTATCTGAAACTGCAAAAGATTCGTATCCAGAAACTTCCAACAAACTTACAGGTGATCTGTGTTCAGCAGTGTTCTAAGTGCTAGTCAGACATGAACATATCTAATCCTCATAACAATGCTGTGAGACAGGTAGTTCATACTCTCAGGTCACATATGAGGAAATTAAGGCACAGAAAGATTGGGTAATCAAAAAACAAATAATTGGAACAATAAGACCAAACCAACCCTGGGAAAATCCATTGGCACAAGCACTTACTGTTGAAATCCAAGTTCAAGACAGGCCACATTAGCCTCCACTATGCTCCAGGCTTTTTTACATATGAACATTTTCTTATCTTGGTCTACAAGTTTTACTTCAACAATTCCCTCAGAAGTGGTAGTTCCATACTTTAAGGAAACACTAAATTGTCCTAAAATTAAAAACACACACACACCCACACACAAAAGAATGAGCAATATTTAGGCATTCACCTTTTCTCCTCTTGATTAAAAGCCTTTAAAATAAACAAAAAATGTAATTTCAAATTAACTTTGAACACCATGAAGATTTTAGTAAATAATCATCTGTAATTGTTTTACCAGGGTCTATTATGTATCAGTGGCTATACTACCCAGTTATACAGACTATTATGAAATCCTCACAACAACCCTGTGAAGACTACAATGATATTTTTACATGAGGAACCTAAATGCCTCCACTTTTATACATGAGGTTAACTTACTTGCTCAAGTGGGGAAGCCAGGAATCTGATGGAACTATATTGATCTCACTCCCAAGTCTGTGCTCTTAAAAGTAAGCCAAACAAATAGTTGAAATGTAAAAAAAAAAAAATTAGGTATCTCATATATTTAAGGCATTTAATGCCTCAAGAGAACAAAAGTCTGCCATTGACAAAATAATCTCCATTATTGCTTCCCTCCTTCCCAACAGGCAATAGAGATGGGGTCAAATAGGGAGCTTTCTTCTCCTACTCCACAGTGCCTCAATATCTTAGCCAAGCATCACACAGATATTTAGGCAACTGTGTGCTGGCATATGTCATGGTGCCTTTACAAGGAATGTTTTGAGTATTTTTCTATAAATTCATGAAGTGTCTGTGATAATTGATATTAGAAGATAAGGCTGAGGTTTGCTCTACTAGTTAAAATTTCATGAGCTCTTTTTGTGTGCCAAACACTGTATGAAGAGCTTTTACATACATCATTTTATTTAATCTTCATGAAAGTCTTAGGAGTTAGGAACTGGTGTTATTCACATTTTACTGAGGTGGAAAATGGGGTCTGACAGTTACATAGCTTGTCAATAACCGAGGTGGGGTGGAGGGGCTTGCAACTAAAACTGACAGTGAGATTCCTAACCTTAACCACTCCAGCAATCTACGTATCAGCATCACAGCCTCCTCAGTGCATTAGAAGCCTGGATGGTGTGTAGACAAGCTCTTTCATCTGAAGTGCCAAGTTTGCTAGAGTATGTCCTAGGTCAGCAGTAGCCTGAGCTCCCCTTAGATCAGGGCCAATGGGCTTGGGGCTCCTTAGGGGTAGAGGCTGGTGGGAGGGACACTAGAAGAAATTATTTGATCTGGAGGTCCACAGGCACAGCTCCATATCAATATCAATCTTATATAAAGACTTTTTCACTGCATTCTGAACCAACTCAATGACTCTGGGAATAGTCCTGTTAGCCAAGTAGAAGTGAGGGTGGGGATAATTTTGAAGGGCTGGGCAGCAGAGTGGCACAGGCACTGAGGGGAAGGACCAGTTTCAGGGCCTTGTGCTGTGAACTCAAAGGCTGGCTATATTCTGGTGACCCTATTTTCTTTAGTTGTCACCCCCATTACAATTAAGGGTCTAGGGAGGAATTCTGAATTGTCATCATAACATTTCATAGCAAAATTATCTTCTAGTAGACAGTATGGTAAACAATTTCTTTCTTATATCACAGACTCAACTAGGGCTTTCCTACCTTCAGCTATGCATGTTCCACTATTTAAAAACTTTGCCCTTGGCTGAAGACATTCAAAACTCTTCTGCTGACAGTAAGTTAGGTAGCTTTTCCCATTAGTTGAACACACTGAGGTACCATTCTTTGGGCACTGATAAGGGAGTTTACAGATACAGGTCCCATCGATGCATTTCTGCCATGGTTGACAGAAGACTTTTTTGCAGGAGAGATGTGTATATTTTTCAATTAGGCACTTGTTGTCTAGCAGATCCTTTTGAGGTATGTATGATGTTGAAAGAAGCTGTAAAACACAAAACAAACACTAACAAACTAAAATCTTTTTTGAAGATGATTAAGTGAAGGAAAGAAACAAAAGAGACTCCCCTATCCCACAGTATGGATGAGGGTGATGTGGTATAGTGGCTTACAGAATCACAAAGGTGACTTCTAGCCCTAGCTGGAGGACTTACAGTTATATGCCCATGGGTAAGTTACTGACCCTCACAGAATGTGCATTTCCTCATCTGTACAATAGGGACAATATCTTCTATTTTGCAAGGCTATTACAAGGACTAGAGATTATATACATATAATGGTTGACAGGTATGCAATCAATGGAGCTATTATTATCCTAAAGCCAACATAAAATTTTGTCTTTGAAGAAATCAATGAATCTCACAAGTCATGTTAAAAACTAACAAAATTGGTGCTAAATATAGTCTCGTGGAGTGAACTGGTGCATTTTAAATGAAATTGGTTAATTTTATTAATAAATGCAAAACCATTTGTTAAACCCCTACTGTGTGTAAAGTTTCTCCAAGATGAACATACATGAACTCTGTCTTCCAAGGGCTTGATATCTAGGCAATAAGACAGAAATACACATAATAACTGGGGTACAAGGAAGACTGTGGTAATTGATATAACAGTGGTACAAATACAATACAGTACTCTTGGAGAACCAAAGTGGAAGAGAGTTAGTCTTTCTGGGGGGATTTAAAAAGGCCTCGTGGATATGGTAGCATTTGAGCAAGGTAAGCAAAGACAGATGCTAGCAGAGGGCTGGTGCTAGCAAAAGACAGGAGGGATAGTGCAGAATGTACTTAGGGAATCATGAGTAGGCCCAACTGATGGACATATGGGGTTTTGTGTGCTTCAAATGAGGTAGTCACTGGTCAGGATACTGGTAAGACAGAGGTAGCAGGAGTGGAGTATGAGAATGGTTTGGAAAGACACTCAAGCAAGCAAAGCAACAAGATTGGACAATTTACTCCATGTAGGGATTGAGGGTGGGTCCTAGGTTTTGAAGCTGACTGATAGTAAGGAGGTATAATGATGCGTTTATGAATTTGGTTTGGGACCAGTTGAGTATGAAGCATCTAAAGGACATACTTTGTGGAAAAGGGATATAGGTGTGTGTCTGAAGCTTGGAAGACAGATTATTAGTTACCTCAATAAATGGGTTAGCAAGCACCACTCTGTGCCAGAGAATGGCCTAAGGCTAGGACCAGAAGAATAAAACTCTCTGTCCAATCCAAAGAGAGACAGGGAAACCTGACAATTGCTCTGACAGATATTGGCTGGGGATGCCATTAGTATAGTGTTCTGGCCTGACTAAGAGGCTCCAAAACATTTCCAGAAATTCCTGTTTTCTGGGCTGTAGTCTGAGGGTGCTGTGCACTGGTCCTCTGGCAGAGGGGGTGGTAGGCAGGCACTTCAGGTAGAACTGTAATAAAGAGAACACCAGGCTTGTTCAAGGCTAGAGAATAGAATGAGAGGGTGGTGGAGGATAAGAGAGCAGGTCCTGAGGGAGCCACTTTAAGCAAGGAAGCAAATTTGCTTTTGGGGAAGATCTTAGAAATAAGATCAGACAGGCAGGAGGCCAATTAGACCTGTAGGAATCCAGAGGAAATCTGTTGAGAGCTGGGAACAGATCAGTTGGGTCAAAAATTGTGGAAAGCATTGTGGAAAGTCATTGCTCTCTCTGTCCCCTAATTGGCCTGTCTAGAGGATGAGTGTCTTGTCCCTGTCTCACCAGCCCCCAGCAACAAGTACCCCTCTCTTTCTCAGTGTTTTTCCAGCTGCAGTAACAGCCAGTGAGGGCAGAAACAAATTGAACACTCTTTAAATGCTGTCATAAAAACAAATAAAAACCAATCAATTAAAACCATGCAAAAATTTTGCATAAGCTCTGGAAGTCTTTCTACCTAATATGCTTTTCAGTAAACTTTATTAAAACCTTTCTGACGTCTCATTTTTCCTTGACCTTTGGACAGAAATCTGGGCAAGTGTCATAATTTTTCAATCATTCTTCAATTAGACCAAAAACAAAAATTTAAGATTTTTACTCCCAGCAACAGTCATGTAACAGCCAGTACAAAGTCCAGTTCTGTGTAATCATTCAAACTCTGATCTTCATTTCAGGTGAAACCTTCTACTTTTTCCCAGCTCAAACTTGCTTTGAGGGGCATGTTGGGCCTGGTATTCACGGAATGGTGGAAAAAAAGCCCAACAAAGTCAGAACATTGAGGAGAATTTACATTTAAGGAGCTAAAGATGTGAAGCAAGTAAAAAAGTTTGCTTCCCAGTCAGAGAGAGGGGTCCTTTGCTCCATGTGTCTAATGCTGCAGAGAGTTTCAGAGGATGAAGGCTGAAAAAAAGCCCACTGAACTAGATGAACAAAGATCACTGGGACTCTTTCGAAGTAGTTTGAGCTGAGTGTGAGACATAGAAACCAGAGCTTGGTGTGTTAAGGCCAGAATGGGAAGTGAAGAAATGGAAGTGGAAGTACAGGGCAGCCATTCTGATTGGCCTTGTGCTTAGACATAGGAGACTGAACATAGGCTTTAAAAAAAATCTCTGCTTCCTCTCCAAGCCCCACTAAGGTGAGAGTAACAATTTATGCACCGAATTTAGAAGCACCCAAATATATAAAACAATTAATCGGAAACATAAGCAACCTTATTGATAACAATGTGATAATTGCAGGGGACTTTAATACTCCACTTACAACAATGGATAGATCATCTAGACAGAGAATCAGTAAAGAAACAATGGCCGTGAATGATACATTGGTCCAGATGGACTTGACAGATATATTTAGAACTCTGTACCCCAAGGCAACAGAATATACTTTCTTCTCTAGTGCACATGGAACATTCTCCAAAATAGATCACATACTGGGTCACAAAACAGCCCTCAACAAATATAAAAGGACTGAGATCACACCATGCATATTTTCAGGTCACAATGCTATCAAACTTGGAATCAACCCCAGGAAAAAGTCTGGTAAACCTCCAAAAGCATGGAGGTTAAAGAACACACCACTAAAGAATGAATGGATCAACCAGACAATTAGAGAAGAAATTTAAAAATATATGGAAACAAATGAAAACGAAAATACAACAATTCAAACACTTTGGGATGCAGCAAAGGCTGTCGTAAGAGGAAAATACATTGCAATCCAGGCCTATCCAAAGAAACAAGAAAAATCCCAAATACAAAATCTAACAGCACACCTAAAGGAACTAGAAGCAGAACAGCAAAGACACCCAAACCCAGCAGAAGAAGGGAAATAATAAAGATCAGAGCAGAAATAAACAATATAGAATCTAAAATAACTGTAGAGCAGATCAATGAAACCAAGAGTTGTGTTTTTTTTTGAAAAAATAAATAAAATTGATAAACCTCTAGCCAGGTTTCTCAAAATGAAAAGAGAGAAGACCCAAACAGATAAAATCATGAATGAAAATGGAATTATTACAACCAATCCCTCAGAAATACAAGCAATTATCAAAGAATACTATGAAAATAATATGCCAACAAAATGGACAACCGGGAAGATATGGACAAATTCCTAAACACCCACACACTACCAAAACTCAAATGAGAAGAAATAGAAAATTTGAACAGACCCATAACTAGTGAAGAAACTGAATCAGTTATCAAAAATCTCCCAACAAGTAAGAGTCCAGGACCAGATAGCTTCCCTGGGGAATTCTACCAGACATTTAAAGCAGAGATAATACCTATCCTTCTCAAGCTGTTCCAACAAATAGAAAGGGAAGGAAAACTTCCAGACTCATTCTATGAAGCCAGCATTACTTTGATTCTCAAACCAGACAGACACCCAGCAGAAAAAAGAGAACTACAGGCCAATATTCCTGATGAATATGGATGCAAAAATTCTCAACAAGATACTAGCAAATCGAATCCAAAAGCATATAAAAATATTTATTCACCATAATCAAGTGGGATTCATTCCTGGGCTGCAGGGCTGGTTCAACATTCGCAAATCAATCAATGTGATACATCACATTAATAAAATTAAAGATAAGAACCATTTGATCCTGCGAATCGATGCAGAAAAAGCATTTGACAAAATACAGCATCCTTTCTTAATAAAAACCCTTGAAAAAGTCGGGATAGAAGGAACATACTTAAACATCATAAAAGCCATTTATGAGAAGCCCACAGCTAATATCATCCTCAATGGGGAAAAACTGAGAGCTTCCCCCTGAGATCAGGAACATGACAGGGATGTCCACTCTCACCACTGTTGTTTAACATAGGGTTGGAAGTTCTAGCATCAGCAATCAGACAACAAAATGAAATAAAAGGCATCAAAATTGGCAAAGATGAAGTCAAACTTTCACTTTTCACAGATGACATGATACTCTAATGGAAAACCTGACAGACTCCACCAAAAGTCTGCTAGAACTGATACATGAATTCAGCAAAGTCGCAGGATACAAAATCAACGTACAGAAACCGGTTGCATTTTTATACACCAATAATGAAGCAACAAAAACAGAAATAAACTGATCCCATTCACAACTGCACCAAGAGTCATAAGGTACCTAGGAATAGACCTAACCAAAGATGTAAAAGATCTGTATGCTGAAAACTATAGAAATCTTATGAAGGAAATTGAAGAAGACACAAAGAAATGGAAAAACATTCCATGCTCATAGATTGGAACTATAAATGTTGTTAAAATGTCAATACTACCCAAAGCAATCTACACATTCAATGCCTTCCCAATCAAAATTGCACCAGCATTCTTCTCAAAGCTAGAACAAGCAATCCTAAAATTTGTATGGAACCACAAAAGACCCTGAATAGCCAAAGTAATAGTGAAGCAGAAAACCAAAGTGGGAGGCATCACAATTCCAGACTTTAGCCTCTACTACAAAGCTGTAATCATCAAGACAGTATGGTATTGGCACAAAAACAAACACATAGACCAATGGAATAGAATAGAAACCCCAGAACTAGACCCACAAATGTATGGCTAACTAATCTTTGATAAAGCAGGAAAGAATATCCAATGGAAAAAAGACAGTCTCTTTAACAAATGGTGCTGGGAGAACTGGACAGCAACATGCAGAAGGATGAAACTAGACCACTTTCTTACACCATTCACAAAAACAAACTCAAAATGGATGAAGAACCTGAATGTGAGACAGGAAACCATCAAAAACCCTAGAGGAGAAAGCAGGAAAAAACCTCTCTGACCTCAGCTGTAGCAATTTCTTACTCGACACATCTCCAAAGGCAAGGGAATTAAAAGCAAAAATGAACTATTGGGACCTCATCAAGATAAAAGCTTCTGCACTGCAAAGGAAACAATCGACAAAACTAAAAGGCAACTGACAGAATGGGAAAAGATATTTGCAAATGACATATTGGCTAAAGGGCCAGTATCCAAAATCTATAAGGAACTCACCAAGCTCCACACCCGAAGAACAAATAATCCAGTGAGGAAATGGGCAGAAAACATGAATAGACACTTTTCTAAAGACATCCAGATGGCCAACAGACACATGAAAAGATGCTCAACGTCACTCCTCATCAGGGAAATACAAATCACAACCACACTGAGATACCACCTCGTGCCAGTCAGAGTGGCTAAAATGAACAAATCAGGAGACTATAAATGCTGGAGAGGCTGTGGAGAAACGGGAACCCTCTTGCACTGTTGGTGGGAATGCAAACTGGTACAGCCATTCTGGAAAACAGTGTGGAGGTTCCTCAAAAAATTAAAAATAGACCTACCCTATGACCCAGCAATAGCACTGCTAGGAATTTACCCAAGGGATACAGGAGTACTGATGCATAGGGGCACTTGTACTCCAATGTTTATAGCAGCGCTCTCAACAATAGCCAAATTATGGAAAGAGCCTAAATGTCTATCAATTGACGAATGGATAAAGATGTGGTTTACATATACAATGGAATACTACTTGGCAATGAGAAATAATGAAATCTGGCCATTTGCAGCAACATGGATGGAACTGGAGGGTATTATGCTAAGTGAAATAATTCAGGCAGAGAAAGACAGATACCATGTGTTTTTACTCATATGTCGATCCTGAGAAACTTAACAGAAGACCATGGGGGAGGGGAAGGGGAAAAAAAAAGTTACAGAGAGGGAGGAAAGCAAACCATAACAGACTCTTGGATACTGAGAACAAACTGAGGGTTGGTAGGGATGGTGGGGGAGAGGGGAAGGTGGGTGATGGGCATTGAGGAGGGCACCTGTTAGGATGAACACTGGGTGCTGTATGGAAACCAATGTGACAATAAATTATATTTAATATTAAAAAACAAAAACAAAAACAAAACAAAACAAAAACCCACCCAAAGTGAATGAGAGAATGTTAGGGGCAGTTAGTTAGGTTCTAACAGTGTACCTGGAGGCCAGCAAAGAAGTCATGCCCAGTTATCAGGAAAGTAAGAGGCCTGTCCAGGCAGTACTCCAGAACAAAGTCACAAGAAGCCGGATCAAACCAGACAGGCCCAAGATGGCTGACAAAGTAGGCTGAATAAGGAATAAAAAACCCGAAACCCTGCTTCCAAGACATCCTTGCCCCAAATAGTAAATATTACATCTCCTTGTTAACAATCATCAATAAAAGATAGAAACCCAAACCCCAGGGTGTGCAGTGTTCCCTCTTCTAGCTTGTCCATTCATTTAAAAAAATTTTTTTTACATTTTTATTTATTTTTGAGAGACAGATAGAGACAGAGCAGGAGTGGGGGAGGGGCAGAGAGAGAATGAGACACAGAATCTCAAGCAGGCTCCAGGCTCTGAGCTGTCAGCACAGAGCCCGATGTGGGGCTCGAACTCACAAACTGAGATCATGACTTGAGCTGAAGTCGGATGCTTAACCAACTGAGTCCATTCATTTGTAATGAAATATATATTCATTACTAAAGTAAAAAAGAAACTTCTACATCAAAGAGGAATTATACTGAAAACCTGAAAATATTTCAAACTGAACAATAAATACCACTTTTATTGTATGCCACTGAGGCTAATGGCATGCAGATGATGCATTACCTAAAGAGAAATTTGTACCTTAAATGCTTATATTAGAAAATGAGAAAAATTGAAAATTTAGGAGTTAAGTATTTAACTCAAGGAATTAGGAAAACACAATAGGGAACAGAAAAGATAGCCTAAGATAACAACAAAAGTTAAACAGGCTCCATTAAGAATCTTATGCTCCCAAAGACTGAGAACCACTTCTGTTGACCAATAATTTTCAAAGTGAGTTACATATAATCTGGGAGTATGAAGATAATCAGGTGGGTAAAATAATAGAAATTATATTAATTTTTATGTTTTATTGAAAAAGTAGGAAGAAATAAGTTTATCTTTACTAATATTCAAATATGGATCAGCACATGTGCTTGCACTCATAACATATTCATTCAATATTTGTTGAGAGACTACAATGTGCCAGGTACTGTTCTAGGTCCTGGGGATACAAGAGTGAATTGCACAAAGTCAGAGAGCTTACCTTTCTAATAGGAGACAGACAAAAATGAATAGAGAATAAATACACAGTATGACAGAAGGTGTCAAATGTTGTGCAGGGTAAGAAGAATAGAGATTGGGGAGAGTGAGGGGGAGGACCATTATTTTGGGGGAAAAGTTTATCTTGGAGCAGAGATATGAAGGTGAGTGTGCAATCCATGCAAGTATCTAGATGTGAGATGTCATGGTCAGAGGAACAAGCCAGGGCAAAATCTGTAGGGGAGAAGCAAATGTGATGTGCTCTTGGTCTAGAGAACTGGTGTGGCTGGAGGGATGTAAGTGACTGGAGAGAGAACAGGAGAAGATGAGGTCAGAGAGTTGGAGGGATGGATAACTGATCACATAGGACCTTATAAGTTACTGTAAAGACTTTGGCTTTTTCTCTGAATGAAAAATAAAGCCACTGGAGGGTGTGAGCCTTCCAATATTTAGAAATTGGGCAGAGAATGAAGAATTAGTAACAGAGATGAGATGTGGCCAGTGAAGTAAAAGACAAATAAATAGAAAATGCTGGCACAGAGGCAAAGAGAAGAAAGGAGTGATCAGCTGCTGTGTCTAATGCTTCTCTAGTTAAATGGTGACCTTGAAAAATGTAATTTTGGTGGAATGGTGGAAACTCAAGCCTGACTGGGTTCAAGAAATAATGGGAAAAGAGAAACTGAGCACAGCAAAATTTTGAGACTTTAGATACAGAGGGGCAAAGAGAAATGGGGAGATAATTGGAAGAGGATATTGAATCAAGAGAGGGTTTTTGTTCTAAGAGGATCATATACATGTGCTTAAGGAAACTAGATGATATGATCTAGTTTTAGCTAAAGGAATAATGGACAAATGGCTTAAAGATTCATGTAGTGAAATGAATGCTGGATTGAAAATAATGCCCAAATTCAACACCAATGGAAAAGCACATAGCAGAGTCATACTTCTTTTTTTTTTTTTTTTTAAAGTAATTTTTCAACGTTTATTTATTTTTGGGACAGAGAGAGACAGAGCATGAACGGGGGAGGGACGGAGAGAGAGGGAGACACAGAATCGGAAACAGGCTCCAGGCTCTGAGCCATCAGCCCAGAGCCTGACGCGGGGCTGGAACTCACGGACCGCGAGATCGTGACCTGGCTGAAGTCGGACGCTTAACCGACTGCGCCACCCAGGCGCCCCCGCAGAGTCATACTTCTAACCCCAGTAGAGGCTGTTCATCAGCCACATCGTGGGGTTAAAAACAATGAAAAATTAATTAGCTATGACAAGAAGTCAGCCCTACCCCCCAATGAGTAGAATTAAAAAGAGTATTTGAAATATAAATTTCTATCTAGTATCATTATGAACCTCTCCCTATGTGTTTATTGTATGTCGCTCTTTGTGAAGTATTTTTTCCAGTTAATATGCCACTAAATCAAATGAAAAATTTTAAAAATAATAAAGTATATTTATTTATTTATTTATATATATATATATTTTTAATTTTTTTTTCAACGTTTATTTATTTTTGGGACAGAGAGAGACAGAGCATGAACGGGGGAGGGACGGAGAGAGAGGGAGACACAGAATCGGAAACAGGCTCCAGGCTCTGAGCCATCAGCCCAGAGCCCGACGCGGGGCTCGAACTCACGGACCGCAAGATCGTGACCTGGCTGAAGTTGGACGCTTAACCGACTGCGCCACCCAGGCGCCCCAATAAAGTATATTTAATGACATTATCCCATTAAAGATTGATGAAAGTTATTAAAATACTATCTATGTGCTTAAAACTGTGTTTTAAGGTGCATTATTTATAGAGCAGTGTATTTATTATTTATAAAATATATTCACATATACTAGAAGCACATGTTCAACAATTTGTAGCAGTTATGACTCTAGCCGATTCATCTTCAAAACATGACTCAACTCCTTCAGTTACTGTTGCTTTTTTGTGTCTATGGGTTTGTTTTTGTTTTGTTTTCTTTTGGCCCTTTCCTTGGTATTTGTAATGATGCAGTTATTTTGATGTAAATTTTGTCTTTTTATTCTAGGCAGGACTACAATGAAACAATTTGAGACAGATGATTGGTAGTTAGAAAACAAGAAACAATCTCCTATTCACCCCAGTATACAGCTGTATAGCTTTACCTGTGGTTTCTTTGTCCATTGTTCTTGATTTTCATCTGTATCCTACAAACAAAAAAAAAGAATGATCAACTATGACCAAAGCACAGAAAAGGCCACCACTTCCCCCTTCTACTGCTTAAGTAGCTGTGTGTGCTTAGATAAGTGACTTTACCTTTCTGATTCTGCTCTTCTATAAAATGTGGAAAATAAAAATATCCCCACAGAGCTGTTCTAAGGATCCAATAAAAATAAATACCAGGGTGGGGAGCCTGGGTGGCTCAGTCGGTTAAGCCTCCCACTTCAGCTCAGGTCACAATCTCACGATCCGTGAGTTCGAGCCCCGCGTCGGGCTCTGGGCTGATGGCTCAGAGCCTGGAGCCTGCTTCCGATTCTGTGTCTCCCTCTCTCTCTGCCCCTCCCCTGTTCATGCTTTGTCTCTCTCTCTCTCAAAAATAAATAAACGTTAAAAAAAAAAAAAATAAATAAATAAATAAATAAATACCAGGGAAAACACAAACATTTAAGACCTTATACAAATGCAAATATGATGGTAATTGTAGTAGATTGCAAGTGGCCCCAGTTCTAACCTCCCTTCACCCAAGTCCTTTGTCATGCTTCTCACTGGGGGCAGGGTGTATTTTCCTAACTCTAGACTCTGGGTCTGGCCCAGAGTAACTTGCTTTTGTTTAACAGAAAGTCAGCAGATGTGTTACAACAGATTGGAAACTTTTTGTCCGGTTGGGTTTGTCCTTTGCTTCTTTGCCATAGCTATGAGAAGAACATGGCCAGACTAGCAAAGAAGAACCACTCTAGTTGAGCTCAGCTTAGATCAGTTGATTGCCAACCAACATGCAGACTAGCATACTAAGTAAAGTTTATGCCACTGAGATTTTGTGGTGATTTTATTATTATGGCATTAAGTAACTGGTACAATAATCATTTTCCTGGAAAGCATTGAGGTTAAAAATGGAAAAGTTTCAAAAACAGTAAACAATATAGAATTTTGTCTTTCTTCCAGAAGTAAATAAACAGCTTATATCCTGAAATTATCAAATATATGAGAAGTATTTCCACTGGAAGAGTTTTAAGACCCCTATAGTTTTAGTTCCTTCTCATCGTGCTTTCCACTAGCAATTTTTTTTTTTCCTACAATTGTTTTCTCTCCTTGGATCTGCCTATCTTGTATCATACCTGTTTCTGATACAAAGCCATGCTCTGACACCCAACAACCAGATCCTTAACTATAGCCATTCTATACAGATAAAAAAGTAATGTTTCTCTATTTATAAATAATGATGAATTGTTTAATTCACATAAAGAATTTGAATTTTATTATTTTTTGTTCTTATTTGTTTTTTTATTAAAGTTTTTAAATTTATATCCAAGTTAGTTAGCATATGGTGCCACAATGATTCCATGGGTAGATTCCTTAATACCCCGTACCCATTTAGCCCATCCCCCCTCCCAAAACCCCTCCAGTAACCCTCTGTTCTCCATATTTAAGAGTCTCTTATGTTTTTGTCCCCCTCCCTGTTTTTATATTATTTTTGCTTCCCTTCCCTTGTGTTCATCTGCTCTGTGTCTTAATGTCCTCATATGAGTGAAGTCATATGATATTTGTCTTACTCTGACTGACTAATTTTGCTTAGCATAATACCCTCCAGTTCCATCCATGTAGTTGCAAATGGCAAGATTTCATTCTTTTTGATTGCTGAGTAATACTCCATTGTATATGTATACCACATCTTTATCCATTCATCCACCAATGGACATTTGGGCTCTTTCCATACTTTGGCTATTGTTGATAGTGCTGCTATAAACATTGGGATGCATGTGTCCCTTTGAAACACCATACCTGCATCCCTTGGATAAATACCTAGTAGTGCAATTGCTGGGTCGTAGGGTAGTTCTATTTTTAATTTTTTGAGGAACTTCCATACTGTTTTCCAGAGTGGCTGCACCAGTTTTCATTCCCACCAGCAGTGAAAAGAGATCCTCTTTCTCCACATCCTTGCCAACATCTGTTGTTGCCTGAGTTAACGTTAGCCATTCTGACAGGTGTGAGGTGGTATCTCATTGTGGTTTTGATTTGTATTTCCCTGATGAGTGATGTGGAACATTTTTTCATGGCCATCTGGATGTTATTGGAAATGGTAGGAAAATGGTTATATGATGTGTGCAGGTACGCTGGGCACTTATACCCTATTCTCCTTAAAAAATTGGAAATATTACTTTGGGTCAATTCCATTATTTTTGCCTCAGAAATTAAAAAAAAATCATTGGCCTTGTTTCTTGGTCTTGTTTTTTATTATGAAGGTAAGATGGCTGAAATGTTGTTTTCATTTTTTTTTAACATTTGTAGCAGTTTTATTCAAAATCACCCCAAACTGGAAACAACCCAAATATCCTTCAATGGGTGAAAGTTAAAACAAACTGTGGTACATCTGCACATTGGAACACTACTTAGCTATGAAAAACAACCTGAATGAATCTCAAAGACATACTGAAAGAAGCCAGTCTCCAGAGATTACATCCTGTATGATGCTATGGATGTGACATTCCAGAACAGGAAATCTTCAGGAATGGAGAACAGATTGGTGTGTGCCAGAGGCTTGGGTGGAGCAAAGGTTTGACAACAAAGAGGTGGCATCAGAGAATTTTTTGGGTGATGGAACTGCTGTGTTCTAACTGCAGAGGTAGTTACACAAATGTGTTAAAACAGAACTGCACATACAAAAAAGTTGATTTTATGGTATATTAATTCAAAGTTTTTAAAAATGAAGATAAAACATGTCCCAATCAAATTCTTTTTAAAAAGGCTATAGAAGAAATTTTCCACCTGGGTTTCTTCCAGAAAGTCTGCTGTGTGCGGGCTCTGCCACACCAGCCCTGGAGTTTGTGGGTCTGTTTATTCGCCTGTAAAACAAGAAGTCAGTCTACAGCAGTGATTTTCCTTCTTCCCCACACTCTAAAATTGTACCCTTGGGCAAGCCCGTCATGGAAGTTGGGGTGGGGTTGGTTTGGAAGAAGGCATTTGGCTTCCACTGGTGGACCCACAGAGAAGTTGTGCTTTTGTCTGTCTCCTATATTGTTCATTTGAAAACCTCTGGATTAGAATCGCTGGTCTTGAGTCAGATCCTCAGGTCCTTGGGAGGTTTGAACCATCTTGGATTTCAGGGTCTATAGGTTGGGCCCACTCATTTGTCCTTTTGGCATGTGCCCTCATAGACCCAGGTGGTTAGCCAGACCAGGGCACTGGCTTTAGTGGTAAGCAATCTAAACAAGGCCTTTGTGGGGAATCTGGAAGAGTGCTCCTTGCTTTAGGACCCCCAGGGCACACATGGATTAAATGCAATGGGAACTCTGAAAAGGCTAAGAAGCTAGGCCTCTCCTGAAGTAGGGTGTGAAGGGACTTAAACCTTTTATTTTTTTTTTTTCCACACAGGAGGACCTTTTTGGAAGAGCATTTTGTAAACAGTAAAGGGTTGTGCAAAGATGGGGGAATTGTGAGGATGACCATGCTAACTGGGACCAGCAGAGCCAAAGCATCATTCATGCCCAGAGTTGCTACCATAAGCCCTGACCGTGTGTCAGGCACCATGTTAAGGAATTTCTGAATCTTCATGACAATGCTGTGAGAAAAGGGCTGTCATTGCTTGGACAGATGAGAAAGCTGAGGCTCCAAGAGGTCCCAGATCATATGGGGAGGAGGTGACAAGGCTAGGTTCCAGTCTGCAGCTCTGGCCTTCCAAATCAAGACCTACCAGAGGAAACCCTGAAGCCTGATGCCAGGCCTTCTCTCCACGTGTGCCTCTAAGAAGGAAACTAATGCCACCTTCAAAGGCTGGCGGGGGACTGCCATGGGTACTCTGAGACCTTGCCACCTACAATAGCACTCAAAAATTTTTTTCGTAAATTTTATACAATGGAATGCTTTCTTTGAAAACTATGTCATGTGTAAATCCAACCCAGAAAACCAGAGTTGGGTCCCTGTGGCTGAAGGTAGAAGCAGGGTTGGCCTGGGCCCCCAGGGCTCCCAGAGCACCACCTGAAGGCCACTTATCTAGTAGGTTGGCACTGACTGTGAGTGGCACAGGAGGTGCCATGATGCTTAAGGCTCTGGCTTTGGGTTTGAAAGAGTGAAGTGGAATGGTGGCTGACTTGTTTGTGGGTTGGTCGGTCTGTGGGAGAGCAGCAGGGTTCCAAGCTTGCCATATGCTTTAGGCACTGGTCCATTTGACCTGGGCACTTGCCTCTCTCTCCCATCTGGCCAGCAGCCATGACCTGTCACTCACAGGGTAGGAAACTTACCTGCACCATCGTACAGTTAGTGAATTTAATCTTTGAAGATATGGATAATAAGGTTAAAAGCTACAGCACCTTTCCTTTTTTTTCCTGGTCCTTATAAAAGGCATCATCTGTTTTTTCTGTAACAACAGTAGAACGTTTAAGTTCAGATCTTGGTCAACAGCAGATCTGCACCTTTGACCTGGGCACAGAGGCTGGTGAGATGGCTCAAAGTGGAATCATCAAACGGACCCCCTTCTGGTAGATGTCAGGGATCACTCCCATAGGGGAGCTGACCATGTGCACGGAGTTCTTGCCAAACAGCTGGAACTCATAGTGGATGAGCTGCTCCCAAAAGCCATTGTTGGGCCGGATGATGGGCCGGCATGACTTGGTCCACGTGTGGGCGTCCAGCAGGGACATGGCATGGTACTTCATGAGGTAGGCAAGGCAGAGGGCAGCTGAGCGGCTCACGCCAGCAGCGCAGCGGCGTGCGGCCCTGCTTCATCGCCACACTGTGGATGTGGTCAGCAGTGGGGTCAAAGAAGTCACAGAGACATGAGATGGGTGCGTCAGCCACCGGCACCTGTACATACTGGATGTCCTCATACAAAGTGTTCACCACTTCTACCAGGACGTTGATGACCGTGGTGATCCGGTTGCTGGAGACCATGAGCTTGTTGTTGGCAGCCACCCCATTGCTGATGTATAGGCTGCTGGTGATCTGTGAGAGGCCGCTGACCGATGGCTGCCGGAACCGAACCGGAAAGGTACGC